CCGCCCCAGCGCGCGTGGGTCATCTGGACCACCCAGCCCATCGCTTGGGAGCAGCGGCTGGACGAGTGGGAAGGCGGCGAGACATTCGAACTCACCGGGCAGAAGGTCTTCCAACGGGATGGCATCGTCTACTTCGCCCCACCAACGGGTAACGATCGCCAGCTAGTCGTCGCTCCCCGCGAGGCTGCCGAAGCAATCCTCGCCAGTTCCGGAAGTCCTCCTCGACTACGCAGCGAACTTGAGATCCTGGCCGAACAAAGCGACGCCGATCGGATGATCAACGTACTGTTCACGCCAAACTTTTTGTTCACCGGCGGCAAGGAAATCTTCGCCGACGAGGCCGAATCCCTCAAACGCCCCGTGGCCGATTTCCTGGGGCCCGAGGCTCGCGGCGGACTGCTCAGTTTGCATCTCGACGACGACTGCTTCATCGAACTCCGCTTACAAGCCTCGGCCGACCGGTTGCCCCTAGTGATGGGCAAGGAATGGCGCGAACGCGTTCACGAGATCCCCTCGCGGGTGAGCTCCCACGTTTGGTCACTCACCCCTTCGCCCTACAGCCAGAAGGTGTTGGCTCAACTTCCCCGCATGACCGAAATGCTCGAACGCTACACCAGGGCCGCTGTCGAAGGACGCGAGACGATTCTCCGCTGTTACCTTCCAGTCGAAGCCGCCCACAACCTGGCACTCGCCACGCGCCTGGCATTGATGGAAACCTCGGGTGCACCCGCGTTGGCCACTCAAACTTCCAGCCAGCCCGAGCTAAGCGTGCAGGAAAAGCTCAGCCAGAGTTATGCGTTAAAGATCCCACGCGGTCCGCTCGATCAGGCGGTGGCACAGGTGAGCAGCGACCTGGGGGTTGAGATCGAGATTATCGGTGGCGATTTGCAGCTCGAAGGCATCACCAAAAATCAATCGTTCGGCATCGACATCAAGGATTCCACGTTCTCCGGCGTGCTCCGCGAAATTCTGAAACTTGCCAATCCCGACGGGAAGTTGGTTTACGTGATCAAGCCCAAGGAAGAAGGGGGCCCGGACATCGTTCAAATCACCACCAGGGCGGCCGTCGAAAAGCGTGGTGATAAACTGCCGCCGGAGTTCGAAGCCCAGTAGCTACAGTTCAATCCGTTGCTGAAGACCGCAGCAGTCGTCTAATTGTCGATTTGATCAATTCGTTCTCTCCTCAAGTTATTGAAGCCTCCACGTGGAACTCTTCAAGATTCGTTGCACGACCTGCCAGACTAAGCTTCGGGTGCAAGACCCTGCGGCAGTGGGCGAGATTGTAGCCTGCCCCAGGTGCAACAGCATGGTGCTCATCGACCCGCCGCCCGATTGGGTGCCGCCACGAAGCATCTCAGTGCCGTCGCCCGATAAACCAATCGTCGCCGTCACCACCGATTCCAGCAGCGGAACGCTCGGCTCCACACCGGCTGACGAGTCCAAGCCCTCCCCTGCTCCAGCAACTCCATCACCAAAGCGCGAGAAACCCAAGCAGAAGAAGGCTCATCGTCCAAAGGCCAAGCGGCCCAAAGAAAAAGCAGCAACCCAACAACCCGAGGTTGATGAAGAAGACTCGGCCGACACCCCCTCCAAACCAATTTACCTCTCTCCGGTCGAGCAACTTGGTCGCAGGCTGACCCTGCTGATGATCATCCCGGCAGCAACACTGGTCGCCTTCACCATCTACTGGACCATCTCTTCCGCGAGTTCCCCCCCGCCTGCTGCTCCACAACCGCAAGACATCGCCGCGGGCGACGTCGAAGAACCGGTCGCAGTGGACGATGCAGAAGAGGCAGAACCCCAACCTGCCACACCTCCGGAGTTCGACGTTCGCTGGATGCCCCAAGGCACGACATACGCCCTTCGCATCGGGTCACCCTTGCTCCGCCCCTTGGCAACGGCCCGCGTGGTTGTCGAAGGCCAGTTGCCAGGGCTATGGCCGCAACTCGAGCCGCTATTATCCGACCTCGACGTAGCCGGAATTCCCGTGGCGTCCGTCCAATGGGCCGGCGTAACTCCAGGACAGTGGGACCGAAGCAGTCTCATCGTTTTACGCTTGGGCGATGCCGCTGAAGAAACCGAAACCTGGTTTGCCACGGGACAAGAAACCGACACATCCGTCGGCAAAGTGACTGTCCGCACCTTCGCGGCATTCGAGTGGCCCCATCCCTTGGCTCTCGTCGAACCACAGACGCTGGTCACCGGCACCCCCGAGTCGCTGGCCGCCTCAGTCGCTCCAGGAACAACTGAGTCGTTATCCCCCGAGCTTTCCGAATTGCTTTCGGCAGAAACGCCGACAGAAACTTCGCTTGCCAGTCTCTACCGCTTCGTCGCCACCGTTCCCAAAGCAGGAAGCCCCAACTTCGTCTGGCTACCCGCCTGGATCACGGATGAGCCCGTTGTGGAAGAGACCTGCAAGCCTTTGACTACCACACCTGAAGTGGTTGATATCAGGATTGGTGCCGAGACTCCGCCAAAACTCAGCATCGCCCTTGGGTGCGCAGACGAAGCCGCAGTCAACTCACTCGAAGAAACGTGGCTCGAACTTTTCGCGGCACTCAACGAACATTGGCGGCAAGAAGTTGCCACGGTCGAGCAACAACAAGCATCCGCCCTTCTGTCCGCAGCCGAGGCCGATCAGGTACGGGGCGTTTTCAGTCAGGCGCTCTCGGCCATCCAAACTGGCGCCACAACGAGAGATGGACTCACTATTGTTACCACCTTCCAACTGCCCGGCAGCGTGAGCGACATTGCTTCGTCGTTCACCGACTCAGAACCCGGTAGATTCCGATTTCGCGAGTTGATACTCACCGAAGGCGATTTGAAAAACCAGCAGACGATCATCAAGGGGCTGAAGACCGCCGCAGACGCCGACAAACAATGGCCGCTGGGCGCCGCCGGCGCAGTACAACTTCGTGCCGAAACCCGGCTGAGTTGGATCGCCTCGACGCTGCCGTTTATGGAAGGGGGCGAGGCGTTCGAGGAGATGCACCGCCAGCTAAACTTTTTCCGTTCCTGGAACGACCCGGCCAACCTCGAAGTGACCCGCCGACCGCTTGCTCTCTTCACCAACCCACGACTAGGCCCATCGAAAACCCCGGCCGGCTTCCCCACCACCAACTACGTGGGCGTCGCAGGGCTGGGGGGCGACGCCGCCTCGCTCGATCCGGCCGATCCTCGCGCCGGCGTGTTCAACAACCGCTACCGTGTTGCCCTGGAAGATATTAAGGACGGCGGATCGCAAACCATCGCCGTGCTCGGCGTGACCGACCGCCTTGGCCCTTGGGCTTCCGGCGGCGATGCCACCGTGCGTCCTTTGACCATTCAGCCTTACATTGACGGACCCGATCACTTCGGCAGTGGCATGCAAGGCGGTATGTTCGCCGGCATGGCTGACGGTTCGGTGCGGTTCATCGCCGACGATATTGACCCTCGCGTGCTCGAGCAACTCGTCACCATCAACAGTGGTCCACTCGAACCCGGACAGATCGAACTCTCCTTGAAGCCGGCCACGCTCCCCTTGCAAGCCGACCAGCCGGGCGATTTGGCCTCCACCGCGCCGGAGGAACCTTCGCCAGAAGTGCCCGCCGCAGAATCTGACAGCATCGAATACGACCAGACCGAAATCGAGAAGAACGCTGCCGTGGTCATCGCCCTCGAGGGTCGCCTCCCCGCGATCGACTTCACCGAGGTCTCGCTCGACGATTTCATTGAGTTCATGGCTCAGCTCACCGCGGTGAACATCGACTTCGATCTCGAAGCCATGTCGGAAGCCGGAGCGAGCCCGGAAGACCAACTCTCTGTGCGGCTCCGCGACGCCTCGTACGGGGAGGTACTCAACACAGCACTGGCCTCCCTGGGCCTCGGGTTCATCATTCAAGACGGCCAACTCCAGATCACCACCCCGGCCAAGCAAGCGGGCAACAAACGCGTGGCGATCTACCCCATCGCCGACCTCTGTGGCGACGACGAAGAAGGATGTGAATCGCTCGCCGCCATGATCCTCAGCCTCATCACCCCCAACACCTGGAGCACCACTGGCGGTGAATCGCGACTGCAAGTGGAAGGGGAGAACCTTGTCGTCGAATCAAACGAATACGTGCACCATCAGTTGGCAAGTTTCCTAGCCAAGCTGCGATTAGCCCGTGGGATTGAACTCGCTGATGGGCCGCCTGCTGAGGAGGTTACGCTATTCTCCCGTGCGGCCAAGGCATTCGAAGCCATGCAGACACCGGTGAACATTCGAATCAACGAACCCACTCCGTTGACCGATATCCTCAGTCGCCTACAACGCACCACCGGAGTGAACCTGCTCATCGACACCCCGGCACTCGACGCCGCAGGCGTCACCCCCGACGTGGAAACGTCGTTGCAGGCCTCCGGCGTTACCCTGGCCCAAGCCCTCGGGCGACTCTGCGATTCACTCGAACTCACTTTCCGCGTGATCAATTCGCACACCGTTGAACTCACAACTCCCACCGCAGCCGAAGGCCGACTCGAGATCGAGTTCTACCCCGTCGAGGCACTCCTGCAAGCCGGCACCACCGCAGATGAGCTGATCATCAAGATCAAAGAAACCATCGCCCCTCAAAGCTGGCGCCAAACCGGCGGCCCCGCGGCCATCTATTTCGACGAGCCCTCGAACTGCCTGATCGTCCTCCAAACTCAAGGCCAACAGATGCAGATCGAGCTGCTACTTCACGAAGACCCATCCGCCGCGCCAGCTGCGAATCCTTAATATTCAACTACCCACCACTAGCTCCCCGCAGCCTTTGATGCCGAACCCAAACGGTCGGAGTTAATCCAGAGACACCTGTAGGGAACGCCCTCCGTGGCGTTCCGCGAATTACTCAGGCACTTCGAACGCCGCGGAGGGCGTTCCCCGCAGTCACACTCAACATCGCCAGCTTAATTCGAATTGCTTCCGCATACATTTGCTTCCACAAGCTGAAAGCTTCAATCAAGAAGGATTGACCAGCCTTAAATTTCTGTACCACTTGCTATGAAGGTGTGGGTTGGGGTATTTCGCTGTGCTGCTGGAGTGGAGAAGTTGATTGAGGCGTAGCCGAAATCGACTTCGGAACGGAAGCAGCACAGCGGGTCGCGAATTCGGACGGGGTGGCATACCCCAGCGAACTGTGCGGCCTCACGTCGTTGTAATCCTTTCTCCAGGCCGTGGTCAGCTTCCGTGCCGCGGCCAAACTCTCGAACATTTCCATCTCCAAGAACTCATCGCGAAGCCGACTGTGAAAGCTCTCCGCGTAACCATTCTCCCATGGACTGCCCGGCGCGACGTAGTGCGTTTCGACATCGACTTGCTTTAGCCATCGCCGGATTGCACCAGCTACAAACTCCGGGCCGTTGTCCGAGCGAATCGCACCGGGCACGCCCCGCATCGCGAACAGCTCGGCCAACGAGTCGATCACATCTTCGCTGGTGATGCTGCGGTCGACTTTCAAAGCCAAACACTCCCGCGTGTACTCGTCGACGATCGATAGCCACTTCAACGGGCTGCCGGCCTCCGTGCGATCGAACACAAAGTCCCAACACCACACGTGGTCTTTATGTTCGGCTCGCTGAATGTGACAGGCTTGGCTGCTGTCGCCCAAGTAGCGTTTCTTACGGCGTTTCTGTGGCACTTTCAGCCCTTCGCGACGCCATAGCCGCAGCACCCGCGTGTTGCTGGCCTCCCAGTCTTCGCGACGCAATAGCACGGCAATCCGACGATAACCGAAACGCGGTCGAGCGGCGGCCAGTTCACGCATCCGCTTCACCAAAGCCGCTTCGTCATCACGAGACTGCGGCTGGTAACGCTGAGAGCTGCGTGGCTGATCAGTCACCTGACACGCCCTTCGCTCGGAAACTGCGAACACCTCGCGCAGCTCGCCGACCGCCGCTCGTTTCCGGGAAGGGCTCACCAGTTTCCCTCCGCGATATGCTTCAGCATCTTGATGTCGAGTTCTTTCTCGGCCACTAACTCCTTCAGCCGCCTGTTCTCGTCTTCCAGTTGCTTCAGCCGCTTCGCCTCCTCGGCCTTCATCCCACCGTACTGGTTTCGCCAACGCAGATACGTGGCTTCGCTCACTTCCAGGGCCTGCAATACAGCAGCCTGGTCCTTCCCAGCATTGAGCATCGCGTCCGCGTCTCGCAACTTACGAACAATCTGCTCCGGCGTATGCCGCTTACGTCGCTTCGTCGTCATCTCGGTCTCCTCGCTCACATGCGTAAAGACCTTCATAACACCTGGATCAGATTTTCAATAGCAGGTCAGGATCGTTCAATCAGGAAAAGTGCCATGCCCTACAAGCATTGTTGCCTGGTTTTAGGTGTCGCCTTATTTCTCACCGTAGGCTTCTGTGTACTGACTATGGGCAGACGAGCAGCAAAGCCCAATTATCTATACAGCGAAGTAGTTCCACCCACGACTAAGCTGCTTACCAATCTCAATGAGTTGGCCCAAGCCGGGGAGTGCGAGTTAGTCGCTAAGAAGTTGGAACTCTGGCAGAAGCTATGGCTCGAGTACCGTCAAGGTGGCGAGACGCCGGAGACGTTTAATACACGAATTGTCGAGCTTACTTCCGAAACAATCGAATTGCAGTAGTAGGGTAATTAAGACGTGTCTTAGCCGAGGTGGTGGATCTTGAAGATAATCTGACGTACGTATTGCCCATCACCCCTTCGCCACCACCGACTGTTCCGGCAACATCAGTAACGACCCAAACAAAAACCCCAACGCACCCAACAACGTTAACGCCACGGCCAGGGTCGCCATTATCTCATGCGGTGGTCCCGGCAGATATACGGCAAACACCGCCGACGTCATGAACCCAACGCACCCCAGCAGGTTCATGAACACCACCCACCAAGAGAACGTCTTCGGCCGCCATCCCCAGTAGGCATGGCAGGTCTCGATGAACGCCAGGTAGCCGGATGCCAGGAACAACACCGATCCGACAAAATCAGGCACCCAGATCGCCAGGTCGCGTTCGAACCAAGTCAGTTGCGGCAACATGGCATCGAACGTGTTGAAGTTGAACAACACGGTGCCGACAAACTGCATGATGCAGCTCAGCCACCCAATGTCGTGTGGTCGCCAGCCAATCATCCGGAGCCTCTGCTGCCGTGCGGTAGCATCTGCATCAACGTCCACGGTGTTCGCTGCTTGAAACAACTGCAAGTACGCGGCCGTGGTGAACGGAATCGAACCGGCGAAATAGATGGCGTTGTTCGCGGACGCACTCAGTAAGATTTCGCCTGTGAAGGTGGGCCACAAGCTGAAGATACTGCCCACCGCGAAGAGTGAGGCACCGATCGCGAAGATGACGCCAATCCACCAATTCAACTCTTGCGGATCATATAGCCCACGCAGCAAGGTCTCGCGCAGTGCGATGGCTGGCAACACCTCCGGGGGAATCAAGCCCTTACGATGATGTCGCGAACTCCAGACCGTTTGCGAACCATCTTTCGCACGCCGAACACGACGCGTGATGAACGGCGGAGGCCCGATTGCCTCCGTCGTTTCGCCCGGTCGAGCAGCTTCTGGCTCTCGTTCCGACATTCAACCAGTTAGTGATGGAACCCGGCTGCTTCGGCGGCCGTCAGCGGGGTTTGAATCGGGTGCTTGTGGAAGTAGTCGATCGTCTTCTGCATATCTTCCACCAGCAGCGACCCGATATCCCGGCTCACACCATGGCGAACCAGGATCCGCTGGATGGCCAGGTCCTCGCGATTCGGTGGCAACGAGTAGGCCGGAACCTGCCAACCTCGGGCCCGCAGTCGGTCGGCCATATCGTAAAGGTTGAACTCGGCCTTTTTCGCTTCCTTCATCTTCCAGCACAACGCAGGAATGCCGGCCTTCATATCGCCGTTGTAGATAACATCGAAGTGACCCAACTTGGAGACTTCTTCAGCAATGTATTGGGCTGTTTCGTAACAGGCCGTATGAATCTTGCGGTAGCCTTCTTTGCCCAGCCGCAGGAAGTTGTAGTACTGACACACGACCTGACCGCCTGGACGCGAAAAGTTCAACGCAATATCCCGCATGTTGCCGCCCAGGTAGTTTACCCAGAACACGAGATCTTCCGGCAGGTCTTGCTGTTCTCGCCACATCACCCAGCCCACCCCCAGGGGAGAGAGCCCAAACTTGTGCCCCGAGCTGTTGATAGACTTCACCCGTGGCAGTCGAAAATCCCACACCAACTCCGGCGCGCAGAACGGCGCCAAGAACCCTCCACTGGCCCCATCGACGTGAATCGGAATGTCGAGGCCCTTGTCCTTCTCCAGCTTGTCGAGTGCCTCGGCCACATCCTGCACCGGCTCATACTGGCAAGTGAACGTCACCCCCAGCGTTGGCACCACACCAATCGTGTTCTCATCGCACCGCTTGAGAACCTCGGCCGGCGTCATTAGCAGCCGCTCCTTCTCCATCGGGATTTCGCGTAGTTCGATATCCCAATACCGCGCGAACTTGTGCCAGCACACCTGCACCGGCCCAGTGATCAGGTTCGGCTTGTCGATTGGCTTCCCGGCCGCTTTGCGTTTCGCTTCCCACCGCCGCTTCATGGCCATGCCGCCCAGCATGGCCGCCTCGCTCGAGCCCGTAGTCGAACAGCCCACCGTGTTGGCCGCCGTCGGCGAGTTCCACAAATCGCCCAGCATGTGAACGCATCGGGCTTCAATTTCCGCGGTCTGAGGATACTCGTCCTTGTCGACCATGTTCTTGTCGATGCACTCGTTCATCAGCCGGTGCACCTCGGGTTCCTGCCACGTTTGGCAGAAGGTGGCCAGGTTTTGCCGCGAGTTGCCGTCGAGCATCAACTCATCGTGCACCACCGAATAAACATGGCGAGGCTCGCGTTCCACCTCCGGGAACGTGTACTTCGGCATGCTCACTGAAAGGTCGGAAGACGCATATACGTCATCGGCCAAGTTGTCCCGCACTGCGTCCTTCTCATGTAAAGGCATCGATCCCTCCTGAAGATGCTCGTTGGTTGCTAAACGTTTCGCAGCGTGAAGTTACCTTGAATCGTCGCAAGCGTGCAACCTGGGATCGTCGCTTCAGCAAATATTCACGGTTCAATCGTGCGATGTCGTGAGAGCTTCTAAGTCTCTTCAACCGGTCGATACGCCGCCGGCGATGAATACCCGGCAGTCCAGGCCACCGCCTGTTGACAGGTCTTCACATCAGGCGGAACTCGCAGCATGTACCGATGGCCCGTCGAAGGGCAGTGCAACTCCACGAAGAAATAATCTTCCTTCTCGAAGAAAGGCACTCGCAGCAATCGCCGGCGACCTCCCGGGTCTTCGTCCTCGTCGATCAAAGTGGCCTCGGCATGGTCCACGAACCAATCGGCGCCCACCCGTTCCAGCAGCACACTCCGCACCGAGGTATTCTGCTCGCGCATGATCTCTTCAACCGTGATCGACTCCGGGTCGAACGCAACACGATCGGAAATCTGAACCCCATTCCAAAGAACTCGTACCGAACGCAACGACCACGGAAGATCGGTCAACCCCGTGTTCGCCACATCGATCCACGATCGTACGCGAATCCCCTCCGGCAACACAGTCAAACTTCGGCAGCCTCGCAAATCAAGACTCACCAACTGGCGCATCCCCTCAGGCAGGTGATCCAACAACGTGCAATCGCGTAGCGAAAGCTCCCGGGTCGTCGCACCAAATCCCTCAGGCAACTCCCGCAGTCGATAGCATCCGCCGAGGTCGATACTTCGCGCCTCCAGCCCGGCAGGTAATGATTCCAGCCGCACGCAGCCACTCAAATCAATACGTTCGGCAGTTAGCGTGGCCACCTCCCGCAGCGCTCGACAGTCGCGAGCGTCGAGCAGCCCGAAGCATTGCAAATCCTCAGGCATGGCTTCAATCGCCGAGCGTTGCACGCTCAGATTCAGGCAGAAAAGCCTTCGCGGCAAGCGCCGCAATTGCACACAATCGTTGAGCTGAAGCTCCTCAACACGGAGATCATCCGGCAGCGGCAGCACGGTTTGTCGCGAGAGATCAAGGGTTCCCACGACCCGCATGCCCGGTTTTGCATTGCCACTCAATATATGCTGCTTCGCCGACTCGGCATCCCAGGCGCGCAGCGATCTTAGCCATCGAAACATGGTAATTGCCTCCCCAGTCCACGGATGATGTCAATCGAATACGATCCGCGATCGCGAGCTGTTCCTGGCCAGTTGATTCGGATCGGAATCCGGCTGCGGCCACACGGGATTAGGATCGTACTCACGCTGCCGCCACAGCCGATAAGTGCCGCGCTCCAGCAGTATCGTGCCGTGCTCGTCGTGAACCAATTGAGCAGACTCAGCAATTACATCCAGGTACATGTCCTCGCGATACCGAAACAGCTTGGCCGTTTCCGGATCGAGGATGCGATGTTGATGCCCCGTGACTTCCCCCTCGGCAACTACCGTGTCGACTTGCAAAGCGGCAATCGAAGGCACGCCATCGACACGCAAAATAAAGATATCGCCCTGACGTCGCAACATCGGACTGGCCCCCTCTCTCTGAAAGTGGTTAAGCAGAATTAACGCACTCTGTTCCTAGCGAGAGTCATCTGGCTAAGGAGGAATCTATCAAAACACCCCCAGGGACCGCCAGAAATTTGCAAGAAGAAAAGAAGCCGATCTCGTCAAGCTAGAACGAGTGCTCAACTCGCGACCATTTGTGAGTTGACCAATGCCGTCCCGACGGCATGCACTGCACATGCCGTCGGGCTCGACAACGAAAGTCAGAAGAGGTTGTTGCTCAACCAAGAATGTCTATAGAACTTCAGCGATGCCAAGCGAGATCTTACACTCCAGCAGGATTCGACAACGCCTCACGTCGACCAAGCTCGACCCACACTCGGGCACGACCCTGCACCCGCTCCATGCGTTGGCCCCAGTTGGCAATCGGCTGTGCGGCTTCAAGTCGGGTAGCTTCGCGAAGCGTCGCTTCCGCCGTTTCGGTATCGCCAATCTGGTAATAGCACAGTGCCAGCAGGTATCGGCTCAACGGATCCTTGGAGCCCGATTCGACGGCCTCCGTCAAGCGATACATTGAATTGTGGTAATCACCCATCAGGTAGTCTTCGAACGCCCGATTGAGTTGCGGTGGCTCGCTTTGCGAGGCCGATTCGCGATGACCGACGAGTTGCCCCTCGTTAGAAGCGTGCGCCCGATAGTGAGCCGCATCCACCGGTGCCGGGGCATCAGTCTCGTCGATGATGATCGGACGCCCGGTCGTCGTTCCTCCCTCAATCGTCTCACCGTCGATGATTCGTTCGCCAATGACTTGTTCACCGTAAACCGAGTCGCCGTAATCACCGCCGCCGCAGCTTGTGCAACCACCGTAAGAAAGGCCTTCGCCGCATCCGCTGGTGCAGCAGGTCGAAGTCGATTCGCAGGCAGAGCAGCCACGTCGGGCTTGTCGACATGCACGACGGCAAGCGCGTTTCGCTCGGTGGCAGCCGCGCCGGCCACAGTCTCCGTCTTCGACGCAACCCGAGTAACAATCTCCTTCGCAACCGACGGAGTACGTCCCGCAGTCGGAAAAACCGTCGCTGTACGACACGCCGCAGTCGGTGCATTGCGCCGCGAGTTGTGAAGTCTTGCCGAAACTCAAAGTGAACGCAACTGAAACAACAAGTAGGCAGGGACGATAGTTCATAAAAAGCTCCCTAGATCGGCATCGCGATTGATTCGGCTTTATCATCGGAATGCCGGCAGTGGGGATTCACCCCACAGCACAGAAGTTGCTTTCCACCACATTTACGATTTGTGCCGTGGAATAGCGACGATTATGCGGCCCTCGCCCATCGCCACATGGGGGTAAGCTGCCGAGCCGCGTTTCATCGAACCTTAACGGTGGCGTTGGCAGCCGATTCAGCATTCCTCTGGCCGCTACAGCCCGCGGAACGATTACGCCGCATCAGGTCGCCGGCTCAGCGAGAATCAACACGCTGACTGCAACACGCCAAGAGGAAATCGCTGCAAAAAGGCGCTTTTCGCAGAGCGAACCTGCGCTGACACGGGCACAAGCCCCGGGCCCCGCGGTTAGTCGAACTTTAACCGTTTGATGTACACCGTCGCTGCCCCCGCCAGCACATCGCGAAACAGGCGATCGGGATTATCGAACACCGCCACGCTGATGTCACTATCGACCGAACGCGTGGCCAGCAGCGTCAGCATCGGCGTCGGCTGGTAATACATCTCCATATAGACCAGCCGCACACTATCCGGCTTCAAGTTCAGCAGTCGCGTGAAGTATTGCTTCGCCAGTTCACCATCGCGAGCCAACGCCGGGCCTTTCAACGCGATCCGCAGTTTGCTCCATTCCTCAGGGCTCATCTCCCGCTTCCACGTCATCATCTGCGCGTGCATCGCGTCAAGCTGACTTTTGGCCGCCCCCGCGATGTTCTGCTCAATCATCGGCGTCATGCCCCGCGTGTAGTCCAACAACTCCGCATTGCTGAACTCCTCCCGCGCAACCACCCCTTCCAAAAACTGCTTCGACCTGGCCAGCATCTCCTTCTGCCGCTCCAGCGATTTCCCCGTCAGCCCAATCTCGTCGATGTTTTCCTCAACCCGTTGCATCTTCGCCAGGTAATCACGAAGCGTCCCCAGCCGCTCGTCATCCAACCGCCCCTCCCCCTCCGGCGCCAGCATCATATAAATCGCCGCCGCCATATGGGCAAACGTCTTGAACGTCTCATACTCCTGCAACACAACCTGCTTCTCCACCTCCGTCTCGCCACGCCGCAACACCAACTTTCCATCCCGCACCAAAACAATCGGCCCCCCCGTCGCCAAATCCACCGAATTGGCCACCTTGTGAGCCTCAATAAACGACCAGTCCAAGTCGTTCAGCGCCGATACAACCCGCTCACCAGGCTCCCCCGAGAAGGCCGCAGAAGAAAAGAGAACAACCGCCAAGATCACCCAAGCAAAGAATCTCACGCTCGCCCTCCTCTGGCGAAACTGGAACGAAGTGCCAACGCACCAGTTTAATGCGGCAGCACCTCAACCAGAAACATGAGTTTCAGAGAGAATCCACCCGGGTACCACCGGATCTCGATCCGGTGCGGCGCAGCCGTTGGAGGCGATGAACATTATTGCAGGCCAATGCGCAATTCAGACGCAGGCTATCAATGAGCTCCAGCATTGGTGAATGATGCATTTCCGGAAAATCGACCGTTCCAAACACTCTTGTGGCCACCCGGTGAACACTTAACTGCGATTATCGCCAGAAGCTTCATCGTTGGAATTGACTCGAAGGTCGAGAGTCCTCAGGCATTCTTGGAGAGACTCTCTCGAGTAGTCTGTCAATTGTGCGCCACTTAAGGTTACTCGAATCGGAGTTGGGTCGATGTTCGCTCCGTACTGAATGGTGCCACTCGCCACATCGTAAGTCTCATGGCAGATAAGCGACCATAACGCGAAACTCCAGCGATCCTGCTCCGAATCCATTTCGACTTTCACCAATCTGTCCAAGATTATCGCCGATATAGCATGGGCAGGTAGGGTGCCGAATTTCTGTAATAGTTCAATGATTTGACCGGAGCTTCCCACTTCATATGACGTGGGGATGCACTCCAGCAATACATTGTCTAAGGATTCGACCTCGGCTGTCTCAAGAAAACCCTCGAGAAACGAAGCGGAAGTAGTGCCGTGTAGTGATCGCCAGCAGAGACGTACAAGTGCGGTCGCTTCGGTACTGTTTACTTGTCTACCGATGCAAACGCCGTGGTCATATTGATTGTAATCATCGTCAGGCGGGGATTCGTCGAATGCCACCAGGTCTTCGATGATTTGATGAAGCTTTTCCACTACCAGGACGCCTCTGCTGGAGTTATGCCTTTGTGAGACAGAGTATTGCACTCGCAACAACAATGTCGTTGTAGGGAAAAGTTGTCTACAATCCGGGTGCCATCGGATCTCGATCCGCGGCCACCCGCTTAAACCGGTCCTAACCAATGTCTCTAGAAGACCACGAGAGTTCCCCTGGGCCAATCGCCAATCCATCCACAGGGGAAGTGGCCCGATTGATAGACGGCTAGTAATCTTTCGTAAAAGTCTGGCGGATTCCAAGGTGCGTAATGTTCGCAGGCCGCTGCATTCAACGTGTCCCATTGAACGCATTCTTCTACGATCGGAGGTATGTTTTCGCCATCCAACTTGGACCGCAGTCGCTTCCATGGTTCGGCCAGCGATTCTCTTGCATCATAAATCACGTCATTCCAGCGTTGAAATTCTTGTTTGCAAACGGTATTGAGTTGCATTGTTACTTCATTCCGGGCCTCGGTGCACACGAATTCCCAAGCTGGATCCGAGCAACTTGTAACCGCTTAATTCCAACTCGTCACGGAAGACATGCTTTCGCGTGGATCTGAAAAAGGTTGGCCGACATGGGAGAACCAATCAAGATTCATCAGGATTTCAACAGTCTTCATATTCGCTCTTAGGCAGGAATTAGTGCAGTGAGTGTTTTAGACAGAGTTCGCACCGCGCCGACCGGGTACCACCGGATCTCGATCCGGTGCGGCACAGCAGTAAGGAGTTCCTGATTGATCACAGCTGATCGAAGTACAAGTTAGTGGCTCAACATCAATCTCCGCCCCGCATTGGTGAATGAAGCCTGTTTGCAGGTGACCTGCTATTGAAAATCTGATCCAGGTGTTATGAAGGTCTTTACGCATGTGAGCGAGGAGACCGAGATGACGACGAAGCGACGTAAGCGGCATACGCCGGAGCAGATTGTTCGTAAGTTGCGAGACGCGGACGCGATGCTCAATGCTGGGAAGGACCAGGCTGCTGTATTGCAGGCCCTGGAAGTGAGCGAAGCCACGTATCTGCGTTGGCGAAACCAGTACGGTGGGATGAAGGCCGAGGAGGCGAAGCGGCTGAAGCAACTGGAAGACGAGAACAGGCGGCTGAAGGAGTTAGTGGCCGAGAAAGAACTCGACATCAAGATGCTGAAGCATATCGCGGAGGGAAACTGGTGAGCCCTTCCCGGAAACGAGCGGCGGTCGGCGAGCTGCGCGAGGTGTTCGCAGTTTCCGAGCGAAGGGCGTGTCAGGTGACTGATCAGCCACGCAGCTCTCAGCGTTACCAGCCGCAGTCTCGTGATGACGAAGCGGCTTTGGTGAAGCGGATGCGTGAACTGGCCGCCGCTCGACCGCGTTTCGGTTATCGTCGGATTGCCGTGCTATTGCGTCGCGAAGACTGGGAGGCCAGCAACACGCGGGTGCTGCGGCTATGGCGTCGCGAAGGGCTGAAAGTGCCACAGAAACGCCGTAAGAAACGCTACTTGGGCGACAGCAGCCAAGCCTGTCACATTCAGCGAGCCGAACATAAAGACCACGTGTGGTGTTGGGACTTTGTGTTCGATCGCACGGAGGCCGGCAGCCCGTTGAAGTGGCTATCGATCGTCGACGAGTACACGCGGGAGTGTTTGGCTTTGAAAGTCGACCGCAGCATCACCAGCGAAGATGTGATCGACTCGTTGGCCGAGCTGTTCGCGATGCGGGGCGTGCCCGGTGCGATTCGCTCGGACAACGGCCCGGAGTTTGTAGCTGGTGCAATCCGGCGATGGCTAAAGCAAGTCGATGTCGAAACGCACTACGTCGCGCCGGGCAGTCCATGGGAGAATGGTTACGCGGAGAGCTTTCACAGTCGGCTTCGCGATGAGTTCTTGGAGATGGAAATGTTCGAGAGTTTGGCCGCGGCACGGAAGCTGACCACGGCCTGGAGAAAGGATTACAACGACGTGAGGCCGCACAGTTCGCTGGGGTATGCCACCCCGTCCGAATTCGCGACCCGCTGTGCTGCTTCCGTTCCGAAGTCGATTTCGGCTACGCCTCAATCAACTTCTCCACTCCAGCAGCACAGCGAAATACCCCAACCCACACCTTCATAGCAAGTGGTACAGAAATTTAAGGCTGGTCACAGGATAGTCGGCTGTCAAAGTCTCTTACGGCTTCGCCGCTCCGATTCAAGAATCGGGGTCACCCGGGGAATTTAGTATTGATGACTTTCCAGTTCTACAGTTATCACAAGGTAGTCTCCTTCTTGGTTGCTCGCTGCAAATTCAGGCACAGTCATATTGGGTTGCGCCACTGATTGGTCTCCTTCAATATATACAATCAGCGGCTCGCTCCATCGGACCGGCCCTGTGAAGACTCGCTGGTTCGTTGGGCTTCGGTGAGAATGTAATGCAAGTCCCGATCCTCCGGCACGTCTCTGACCTTTTATCCCGAGCATGACTATCGGGGACTCGCCGTCATTGTTTTCGCAGAGTGCGACTCGAATTCCTAATGGCGAAGTGCCCAGAGAGGCGTGAGTCCCTGCACCGAATCCTGCCACTTCACGAATGGTTCCTTGCTGAATCGAATAGAGCGTGGTGGACAGCGTAGCACTACTAGAGAGTCTTCCGTCAACTCGAAACAAAGCCACACCTTCTTCTCTGTGCAAATCTCCCCCGCCTATGACTATGCACTCTATCTTCGCTTGCTCTTCTGGTGGGATTAAATACACCCTTGCATGAGAAATAAGAAAATACCGCAACGCCGCCAGCATAATGGCCACTATCAAAATGGAAATCAGGAGGCGTTTAACGGAGAATCGCATAACTACTGCGCTTTGCTTTCCGATTGCGTAGGTTAGGCGTCCCGTGCCTGGCATCTGCCTCAGACGCCAACGATGTCAAACATCACGATTCATCCTTACGCAACGTGCGCGTTTCTTTCCACGAAAGAATCATCACCAGCAACGTACCAACGATCAGTCCCCAGATCAGACCGTTCATCGTCCCGAGGCCGATCCCCAGTTCGGTCATGTCGTACTCCTGCCCCTCGCGAATCGGCAGCACGAGGCGATAGAAGCTGGGTGCATACGTTCCCAGGAAAACGCCAATCCCCATCCCAGCGATAGCGAAGCCAAGTGCCGTGCCCACCACCGTTGCCAAGGCTTTGAAAATGTTCAAGGTATTTGTGCTCCGTTGAAAATGCTCCGGGAAATGTGGTACTGTTCTTCAGGCAACGCAAAGAAACTCAGCGAGGGGTGGCCGAAAACTTCCGTTGCGATTCGACCTCCTCGTCGGCATTATAGTGCGTGGGTCCTGTGTCTTGCCTGGGGATACGGGGTCGCGAGGGTGAGATTGGCTGCGGGGTTCGACGGAGCTTTGTGGCAATCTCGCGTGTGATGCGTTTGTTCTGGCGAGGCTTTGCGTGATCTGAGAAAACACGGCCGTGGCGTCACTGCTTCATTGTTCATACGACCCGACGTGCGACGAAGACATCTGCGGCCCGTTCGCAGGTGGATACCCGAACCGATGGCCAGGCGATCGGCACAAGGGATTGAACCAAAGCAGCGTGTCGCCAGCAAGCAAACACACTCACACAGCCATCACGATCATCCCAACTCCGATCGTGGTTCCGGAACCACATTTTTCTTTAGTTGAGAGGGGTAGAGAAGAGAAAACTGATCTCTGATGCGGCGAGAAAGTCTGCTGAAAGTAAGCGGCTTCGGCGAGGATCAGAAAAGAAATAATCCACTACGACACAACGGCACAACGAAAGTTTTTCCAGGTGAGCCCTTACTATGAATGCAATGGTTCGCCGTGGTGAGAGATAGGGTGATGAATTAATTTAACCGAACTTGTCCGATGGAGTGAAATCTCATCAGCGAGTAACCATCACAAGTTTACGTCGTGTCGTAGTGCCGTTGTGGTCATCTTCCCCACTGCCCTTCCGAGCGGCAACCAGCACAGAAGACTCTCCACAACAACGAACAGACAGCATCCTTAACTACCTAACCGGTCGTTGCAGTGCCGCCCGGGCTTCGGTCACCAACCGCTTGGCTTCCGCGGGCGTGTCGGCCAGCGCGGTGATGTGGCCCATCTTGCGGCCAACGCGGGCTTCTTGCTTGCCGTAGAGATGCAGATGAACGCCGGGGAATTCACAGGCGGCGGCCCAGTTGGGCGTTCCCCCTTCCCACTCGTCGCCGAGTAGATTGGCCATCGCCGCCGGGCGGAGATACTCAGTCGACCCCAGCGGTAGCCCGCAGATGGTGCGCAACTGTTGCTCGAATTGCCCGGTCATACAGGCGTCCCACGTGAGATGCCCCGAGTTGTGTGGCCGGGGGGCAATTTCATTCACCAGCAGTTGTCCGTCGGTGGTGAGGAAGAATTCAACGCACAACACGCCCACCACGTCCAATTGTTCCAGCACGGCATGGGCCATCTCTACGGCCTGCTTCTGCACCGCCGGCGACACATCGGCCGGGGCCACCGATACATCAAGAATATGGTTGCGATGCTCGTTATGAATCACGCCGAAGTCGGCCATCTGCCCATCCAGCCCCCGGGCCGCCACCACAGAAACTTCCCGTTCGTAATCGACCCACTGCTCGAGCACAGCCTCGTCAAACTCCAAGCTGTCCCAAGCATCGGCGGCCTGCGCGGCCCCATCGATGCGAACCTGCCCCTTCCCGTCGTACCCCCAACCGGCCGTCTTCAGCACGGCCGAACCCTTCGTCTCGGCCAACGCGGCTTGAAGTTGTTCGAGCGAGCGAATCTCCCAGTACGGCGTTACCGCGATGCCCGCCCCGCTGAGCGTCCCCTTCTCACGCAGCCGGTTCTGAGCCACGTGCAGCACCGAGCCTGAGGGACGCACCGCCACGTGCTCGGCTGCGGCATCGGTGGTGGCCAGCGGAATGTTCTCGAACTCGAAGGTCACCACGTCGACCTCCGCGGCGAACTTCGCCACCGCGTCGAGGTCTTCGTAAGGGGCCTGCACTTCGCGATCGGCCACCTGACCGGTGGGCGTGTCGTAGTCGGGCGAGTAGGTATGCACGCGGTAGCCCAAGCGTCGGGCCGAAAGGGCGAACATCCGTCCGAGTTGTCCGCTACCCAGCACGCCAATCGTGGCCCCGGGAAGAATCACCTGGCTCACGGCAACGAGTCTCCCATGACTTTGTCCGTTTGCTCGCGTTGGAAGTCCTTCAACTTTGCTCGCAACTCAGGCCGCGAGGTGGCCAACATCCGCACGGCCAGCAAAGCCGCGTTCGTGGCTCCCGCCTTCCCGATGGCCAAGGTGCCCACAGGCACTCCCCCAGGCATCTGCACAATGGAGAGCAGCGAATCCAATCCCTGCAGGGCCCGGCTTTGCACCGGCACTCCCAGCACGGGCAGCGTCGTCTGCGAGGCGATCATGCCTGGCAAATGGGCCGCCCCGCCAGCCCCGGCGATGATCACTTCCAGCCCCCGCAATTCGGCCTCTTCGGCATACTGGTTCATCCATTGCGGCGTACGATGGGCCGACACAATGCGGTACTCATGCGGCACATCGAATCGCTTCAGCATCTCCACGGCATGCTGCATGGTTTCCCAGTCCGATTTACTCCCCATCACCACGCCGACGAGGACCGCTTCCGCCTTGCTCATAGCATCAACTCACAACAGGACAGTTTTCAGCAACGCATAAGTTACCAAGACCACCGCCCGGGCGAAAGCAAGGGTGCGAGCATCCGTATATCAGCGAACAAATACATTCGACCCTCTGTAGGGAACGCCCTCCGTGGCGTTCCGTGGATTACCGTTGCGCACGGAACGCCACGGAGGGCGTTCCCTACAGCGAGGTATGATGCGGGACCGTGTGATTCCTCATCTCACCCGTTGTTTGACTTTGACCTGAATCACCAGTAGCTTTCGGCCGGTTGATGCTGGATAACGTATGCCTGAACGCTTAGCTCTCGGGGACGCAGTCTTACAGCGATGAAAATCGAACGTATCGAAACGCTGGTTTGCCACGCACGCATGCGGAATTGGGTGTTCGTGAAGGTCGTCACCGATCAGCCGGGCCTGGTCGGCTGGGGCGAGGCCACGCTGGAATGGCATACGCGCAGTGTGGTCGGTGCGGTGGAAGACCTTTCGCAACTCGTCGTGGGCGAAGACCCGACTCGGGTTGAGCACCTGTGGCAGATGATGTGGCGGCAACACTTCTGGCACGGGTCCGGTATCGTTCGTTCCACGGCCATCGCCGGCATCGACATCGCCCTGTGGGATATCGCGGGCAAAGTGGCCGGCGTGCCGTGCCACAAGCTGTGGGGCGGGCCGGTTCGCGATCACATTCGCTTGTACTGTCACCTCGGCGGCGGAGACATGCAGCGGTTCTACGAAACCCCAGTCGACAACGCCCGACAGTTTGCCGACTTGGCGATCGAAGCTGTGGACGAAGGCTTCTCGGCGTTCAAGTCGATGGCCGTTCCGCCCACGATGCCGGTGGAAGGACTCAAGCCCGTGCGAGCTTCGGAAGCTTGCGTGGAGGCCATGCGGGAAGCGGTCGGCGATTCGGTCGATATCATGGTCGATTGCCACGCCCGCCCTTCACCGGCGATGGGGATGCGGTTCGCCCAGGCGCTCGATCCCTTCGGGCTGTACTTCCTCGAAGAACCGTGTTGGCCGGAATCGGTCGATGAACTCGCGCGGATCAACGCCGGCGTCACCACGCCCATCGCCACCGGCGAACGCGTGACCCACTTGGCAGGCTTCCGCGACCTGTTCGCTCGCCGCGCCTGTGAAATCTGCCAACTCGATATCACCCACTGCGGCGGCTTCACCGAGGCCCGTCGCGTTGCGGCCCTGGCCGACGCCCATCGCATTGCCCTGGCTCCGCACAATCCACAAGGCCCCGTCAGCACGGCAGCCTCGCTGGAGTTCGGTTTCTCACAGCCGAGCTACATCATCTGCGAGTCGGTCCACGGCGACGTTCCCTGGCGGCAAGATGTGGTGGAAGAAGGCTTCACCGTCGACGAAGCAACCCGCACCGTCACGCCCAACACCCAGCCGGGCCTGGGGATCACCATCAACGAAGACGAAGTGAAGCGACACCCCTTCCAGCAAGAAGAACTCCAACGCGTCTTCTACCGCGACGGCAGCGTGGGCGACTGGTAATCTGCAGGAAGTACACATGAACAAAGTCGGTCGAAGCTCGGCATCAACGCGAAACGACCTTCTGCAGTGCGCTCCCCATGCTTCGTTTCGCGGACTGATCGGCATCGCCCGCACCGACATCACGCCGCCGGTGGGGATCTACGCCCGCAATTGGGGCGCGGCCCAGCACGATGTGGCCGAGTCGATTCACCGCCCGCTGACACTCACCGCGCTGACATTAGCACGCGACGAGGAAACCAGTCCGCTTGTGCTGATCGACGCGGACCTCGGCTGGTGGCGATCGCGAACGTTGTTTCAATCGCTACGCTCGCGGTTGCTGGAAGCCCTGTCGCTTGAATCCGCTTCGTTGATCTTCGCCCTCACGCACACCCACGCCGGGGCCGCACTCACGCAGCCCGATGCCTCGCTGCCGGGTAGCGATCTGCTGGCAGAATACCTCGAGCAGTTGGTACCGCAGACGATCGAGACGGTGACCCAAGCCCGCCGTGCCGCCATGCAAGCAACACTCGACTGGCATACCGGCCATTGCCAACTGGCCAAGTTCCGCGACTTGCCCGATCCGGATTCGAACGCAAACCGCATCATCTGTGGCTACAACCCGACCAGAGAATCAGATGCGACACTATTACTAGGCCGCGTGACGGACAGCCAAGCAAGAACCACGGCCGTACTCGTCAACTATGCCTGCCACCCTACAACACTGGCCTGGGAGAACCGCGCCCTCTCGCCGGACTTCGTAGGAGCCATGAGAGAGACGATCGAAAAACACGTTGATGGTGCCCAGGCGATCTATTTACAGGGCGCATCAGGCGAGCTGGCGCCGCGACATCAATACGTCGGCGATACTCGCGTAGCCGATCGTCACGGTCGCCAGTTGGGCTTTGCGGCCCTGGCCACGCTAGAGGACATGGACCCGCCAGCGACACAGATGGTCTACGATGGCGTCGTCGAGTCGGGCGCACCGCTGGCAACATGGCGTTACAAATCGATTACGCCCTCCACGAATCTGAGGGCGATTAAATCTTCCGTCGAACTCCCGCTGAAAGACTGGCCATCGGCCGAGGTCCTCGAACAACAAAGGACCGCCTGTGACGATCGCGCGTTGGAAGAACGCCTTCGCCGCCGCCGTGATATCCGCCTCGAGTTGGGCGATGGCGAGAGTTATGCCCTGCCATTGCACGTATGGAGTCTCGGCGATGCCGTGCTGGTGGGCACGATGGCCGAAGCCTATTCGACGCTGCAGACGAAACTCCGAAAGCGGTTTCCCAACCACGCGATTATCGTGATGAACCTGATTAACGGTTCGATTGGCTATCTGCCAACCGCAGAGCTGTATGATGCCGACGTCTATCAGGTCGAGCAAACTCCCTTCGCCCGTGGCAGCTTGGAGGCGGTGGTTGAGGAACTGTCGCGTTTGATCCAAGTGTCCCACGATAGCGACCCAAGTTCCGTAGCATCAGCCGCGCAACAAGCAAACTAAGAAGAGACCACAGCATGGCTGACTCACCGCTCGCGGGCGTACTGCCGGTACTGCATACGCCATTTCTCGCAGATGGGCAGATCGACCGCGAAAGCCTGCGTCGGGAAATCGATTGGGCGTTCGATCTGGGAGTAAGCGGCGTCTGCGCCGCTATGGTATCGGAGATTCTGCGGCTCACGATCGACGAACGAATCGAGCTGGCCAAACTCCTGGTCGAATTGACCGACGGTCGCGGAGTGGTCGTAACCAGCATCGGAGCCGAAAGCACCGCGCAAGCGATGTGGTTCGGTCAAGAAGCTGCACAAGCTGGGTGCGATGCCGTGATGGCCGTGCCGCCGATTTCAACTTCGCTTCCGGACGATGCTCTGTACGACTACTTCGCCGCGCTCGCCGAAGGGATCGACTTACCACTGATCGTGCAAGACGCCTCGTCCTACGTCGGGCGGGCGATTCCGCTTTCGCTGTACTTACAACTGCTAAAGCGTTACGGACCGGAGAAGATTCTCTTCAAGCCCGAGGCCTCTCCCATCGGACCGCATCTCTCGGCGCTACGCGACATGACCGGCGGCCAGGCCCGCGTGTTCGATGGCTCCGGCGGCATTCTGTTGGTCGATGCTTTCCGTCGTGGCGTGGTCGGCACCATGCCGGGCTGCGATTTGCTCGACGGAATCGTCGCCCTGTGGAAAGCCTTGCAGGCGAACGATGAGGAGTCGATTTATCGCCTCTCATTTCCCATCAGTGCCATCGTCGCCCTGCAACTTCAGGCCGGGCTCGATGGATTCCTGGCGATCGAGAAATACATCATGGTCAAGCGAGGGCTGTTCACCTCCGACCGCCGTCGCGAACCCTACACCTGGTCGCTCGACGAAGAGACCGCCGCCGAAGTGGAGCGGCTGTTGGTTCACTTGGAGAAAGCCCTGGCCGATGCGAACGCCCACGAAGCGTAATTGGATTAAGAATCCACGCTTCGATTCCACCGCGAGGCCGGCGATTCTTGCTTACTGTACCTCTGGCCTGTTATAAGCGTGGTGCAGTGGGGAAGTTGTTTCACAGGCACGCGGTCATTCAATTTCCGATAAGGATACACGTTCCATGAAATGGTCCATCGCAGTTCTTGCATTCGCACTGTTTCCGTTGCCCTCGCTGGCCCAAGAGCGAAGCGAGGCCTGGATGAACAACTGGCCGCAATGGCGCGGGCCCGAGGCCACCGGGTTCGCCCCCAATGCCGACCCACCGATTGAATGGAGCCAGGACGAAAACATCAAATGGAAGATCGAAGTACCCGGCGACGGCGATGCCACACCAATTGTTTGGGGCGACCGCATCTTCATCCTCACGGCCATCGAGACCGACCGCGAAGAAGAGGCTCCGCCGGAGGAAGAAGCCGCGGCCCCCGGCGGTAATCCTTTCCGCGTCGAGCGGCCCACGCATTATCACAAGTTCGTCGTGATGTGCTTCAACCGCGAGACGGGCGAGTTGATGTGGGAGAAGCTGGCCGCCGAGTTGGTACCTCACGAAGGCCATCACCGCGATCACGGGTTCGCCTCGGCCTCGCCGGTGACCGATGGTGAATATGTGTACGCATCGTTCGGCTCGCGGGGCATCTACTGCTACACGGTCGATGGCGAGTTGGTTTGGGAACGCGACCTGGGCGACATGTCCGTGTTCCGCTTCTTTGGCGAGGCCACCTCTCCGGTGCTTTATGACAATACGCTCATCGTGAATTGGGACCACGAAGGCGAATCGTTCCTGTACGCACTCGACGCCCGCACGGGCGAGACGAAATGGGAAGTTGCCCGCGAGGAACACACCAGTTGGGCGACGCCGCTCGTTGTTGAGCACGACGGTACCACGCAGATCGTCGTCAACGGTATGGGCAAGGCCCGAGGGTACGACTTCAACACCGGCGAAGGGCTATGGGAGTGTGGCGGTCAGGTGATGGCCGTAATCCCCTGCCCCGTCGCTCACAACGGCGTGGTGTACTGCATGAGCGGTTACCCTGGCAGTGCGATGTACGCCATTCCGTTGGGTTCCAAGGGCGATATCAGCGACAGTGATGAGATTGCCTGGTCGCGGGATCGCGATGCCCCCTACTGCCCCTCTCCGCTGCTATACAAAGACCGCTTGTACTTCAATAAAACCAACGGCGGTATTCTCACGGTGTTAGATGCCGCGACCGGCGATCCGATCATCGAGACTGTTCGCATGCCGGGCATCCGAGGGCTGTACGCTTCGCCGGTTGCCGCACAGGGCCGGATTTACTTCACTAGCCGCGACGGTACCACACTGGTTATCGACGATGGGCCCGAGCTGAACGTGCTGGCGACCAACGAACTGGACGAGCCAGTCAATGCCTCGCCGGCCCTGGTGGGGAAAGAACTGTTCCTTCGCAGTGAGAAGCATCTGTTCTGCATTCGCAACGAATAAATTCCTGATTTCACTGAACAACCATCACTGACTACGCACCGTGTTTCGAAGGGGATAGTCCATTGTTTCGACGCAGCGTTTTCTTCACGTTGATCTTCATCGTCGCCGTCAGTCTGCTTCCTCGCCTGGCCTCGGCAGCGCCAGATTGGCTGAACACCGATGTGCCGGCCGAGGATGCGATTTGTTTTGTGCTCTACACCGTGCAAGACAACACACTGAAGATGACGGCCCAGCTTTACCCCTTGGCCGACGATGTGGGCCGTGGCGTGCAGTTGGAAGTCGAACGCGATGGTGCGTGGAAGAAGATTGCCGAGACCCGCGTCAGTGAGGAACCCTATGGCTGGCCGCAGGAAGATGTCAAACGGTGGACCGCTCACTTTCGCGTCGAGTCGTGGGATAGCACGAAAAACTATCGTTATCGCGTCGTGGCGGCCGACGGTGCGGCCACGCTGATTGGCACGGTGCGGAAAGACCCGGTCGACAAGCGCGAGATTGTCGTGGCGGCGTTCACCGGCAACTCCAACCGCGATCGTCGTCTGAAGCCCGATATCATCAAGAACATCCAGGCCCAAGACCCCGACCTGTTGTTCTTCTCTGGGGATCAATCGTACGACCATAAACTGCACTACCAGGCATGGCTGTTGTTCGGCCGCGAGTTTGGCGAGATCACCAAAGACCGCCCGACGGTGACGATCCCTGACGATCACGACATCGGGCAAGGCAATGTGTGGGGCGATGCCGGCAGTAAAGCCTCGAGTCCCGCGGGCGACGACGGTGGATACTTCTACTCCCCGCAATACGTCAACTCGGTGCAAGACGCCCAGACCTGGCATTTGCCCGACGCTTACGACCCCACGCCCGTGCAACGTGGCATCGGGGTTTACTACACGGCTTTAAAGATTGGGCGAGTTGGCTTTGCCATTATCGAAGACCGAAAATTCAAGACCGGCCCCAACGGTCTAGTGCCGGAGATCGGCCCCCGGCCCGACCACGTGACCGACGAGTCGTTCGACCGCAAGTCGTTCGATGTGCCAGAAGCCCGGCTGCTGGGGCAGCGTCAGCTCGACTTCCTTCACGCCTGGGGGCAAGACTGGACCGGCGTCGACATGAAGGTCGTGCTCTCGCAAACCGTGTTCGCCAATGCCGCCCATCGTCATGGGAAGTACGACTACCGGCTTATCGCCGACCTCGACAGTAACGGCTGGCCTCAGTCGGGCCGCGATCGCGCGTTGGAAGAGATCCGCCGCTGCTATGGGTTCATGATCGGCGGCGATCAACACCTGGCCACCGTGATTCATCACGGCGTGAACGAGTGGCGCGACTCTGGCGTTTCGTTCTGCGTGCCGTCCATCGTCAACTTCTACAACCGCTGGTGGGATCCGAAGGAACCGGCCCAGCGCCCGATTGAAGGAGCCCAGGAACACTTGGGCGACTACCTCGACGGCTTTCATAACAAAGTCACCATGCTGGCCTATGCCAACCCCGACGAAACTCGCGTGAATAAGTATGGTGGTGAGTGGGGCGGACGTGCGGCCGGCTATGGGCTGATTCGCTTCGACCTGGACACCCGCGATATCACGATGGAGTGCTGGCCCCGCGGAGTGGATATTACCGTCGACGAGGGCGAGCAATACACCGGCTGGCCCATCACTATCAATCAGCTCGATAACTACGGCCGCGAAGCCTCCGCCTGGTTGCCGACAATCGAAGTGAAGGGGATGAAGGATCCCGTGGTGCAGGTGATCGACGAGGGGCACGACGAAGTGGTCTACACCCTACGCATCAATGGCGACACTTTTCAACCGAAGGTGTTTCGCGAGACCGACTATACAATCGTCGTCGGAGAAGCCCCCGATCGCCTGAAGACCTTCGAGCATGTGAAGGCTACCAAAGAGAAAAGCGATGAGGTGATCGAAGTTGAGTTGCCCTAAACCCTGACTTATTGAATCTCAAGTGCAGTTGGCGATCGAGTTGACTTAGCACCTTTAAACCCGGCTCACTATAAGGAACCAACCATGTCGAACATCGCACTGGCAATCCAACAGGTCGAGAAGGCTCGACAGTACACCACCGGCCTGGTTAACGATACGGACGACGATCAATGGTTTGAGCAGCCGTTTGAAGGGGCGAATCACATCGCCTGGCAAGTCGGCCACATCGTGGTTGCTCAATATGGGCTGACCTTAGCTGCGGTGCGGGGTCGCCATCCGGAAGATGCCGAGTGGATGCCCAAGGGATACGCCAAAATGTTTGGCCGCGAGTCGACCCCGCAGACCGAGCTGTCGGGCCACCCGACCCCCGACGAATTACGCGCGGCACTCGACACCGTCCACGATCATGTCATTTCAGGTCTGCAAAGCGTCGAGCCCGACGTGTTCGACGACAAGCCCGAGTGGGAAGTGCCGATGTGTGCGACCAAGCTCGAGGCCGTGCATTTCTGCGCCCTGCACGAGATGGTGCACGCCGGGCAAATCGGCATGTTGCGGCGAATGCTAGGACGAGCCTATCTGCGATAGTCGTCAGTTTTTGAGTCACCAGTCTGTCTTTTCCCTACGATTGAGTGGGCCGTTATGTCCTTCGAGCTTTCTCGCTGGGGGCCAGAATTGCCTGGGCGGGGCTGCTATAATCGGGGGTTCATCCTAATGATGCCCTCCATGTGTGAAGAATTAGCCCCATCCGCTGGATAGGCTTCGCCATAACTTCCGCCCCAGAATACGCATGACTCGCTTCACTCAATCAAATTCAGGTCCCGGCCTGCGCTCACGCTTCTTCCCTCTCGTGACTTTGGTGGTCGCCGCCATCGCAGCATCCACGGCGGTGGCTGATGAGCTTCAGTCGGAACTGATCTTCCCCAAGCAAGACAAACACGTTCACTCCAGCAGCATTGTTGAGCTGCCAGGTGGCGATTTCCTGGCCTGTTGGTTCTACGGCTCCGGCGAACGTTCGGCGAACGACGTGAAGATTCAGGGGGCCCGCCTTGGTAAGGGCGAGCGCGAGTGGAGCCCCGTGTTCGAAATGGCCGACACGCCAAACCTGCCCGACTGCAATCCGGTGCTGTTTGTCGATGGTCAAGAGCGGCTGTGGATGTATTGGATTGTGCCGCTGGCGAACCGGTGGGAACACAGCGTGTTGAAGTACCGGCGGGCGGAAGACTACACCGGCGAAGGGCCACCTAAGTGGTCGTGGCAAGACGTGATCAACCTGGTGCCCGATGAATCGTTCGCCAAGTCGATGGAAGCCGGATTTGAAGAACTGCAATCGAGCGAGGGCATGTGGGCCGAGTATGCCCCGCCCTACGCAAGAATGTTAATCGAGGCCTCACGCGATCCCATTAAGCGTCAAACCGGTTGGATGACCCGTACGCATCCGATCATGCTCCCCTCAGGCCGCATCCTGGTTCCGCTTTACTCCGATGGCTTTAACGCGGGGCTGATGGCGATCTCCGACGACGAAGGTGAGACGTGGATTCCCAGCGCCCCCATCGTCGGGCTGGGGCCCATTCAACCCAGCGTGGTGCGGATGGAAGACGGAACCCTGGTGGCCTACCTTCGCGATAGTGGCGATCCGCCGGGCCGCGTGATGCGAAGCACTTCAGATGACGACGGCGAGACCTGGTCGGTCGCGCTGGATACCGAAATCCTCAACCCCGGTTCCAGTCTGGAAGCAATCGCCTTAGAGGACGGTCGCTGGGTGATGGTCTACAACGACTCGGAAGTGAACCGGGGAAATCTGGCCATCGCGTGTTCCGACGACGAGGGCCGCACCTGGAAGTGGAAACGCTACCTGGAAGACGGCTCCGAGCAGGGAGAGTCGTACGGCTACCCCTCCGTCATTCAGGCCAGCGACGGTACTCTACACGTCACGTATACGTTCGACACGCCCGAGGGCAAAGCAATCAAGCACGTCAGGCTGAGCCCCGACTGGATTACTGCTGGGTCGTCGGACGGCCAGAATTAATTTGCCTCACCCCTGGCCTACTACCTTATTTATTGAATCAACCAGAAGCCCAAGCTTAGAAGTTATTGGAGAGTTTGATGCGCGGTATTTGGATCGCCCTGTTGTTGCTTGCCACCGCGAATGTTGCTGCGGAAGAAGTTCAGCACGTCACCATTGGGAAGTTCCCCCAAGAAGTTGCTACCGCGTACACCACCGAAGATGGGCTGCCATCGAACGATGTGAAGGCGATTCACCTGGACAAGAGCGGTAGCGTGTGGGCTGAGACGGCCAAGGGATGGGCCGTGCTCCGCGACGGGGCGTGGGCTGCGGTCGAGGCTCCTCCGCTGGAAACCTTGTTGGGCTTCGTCGCCGCCGAAGAGCATGAGTCTCTCGACACGGATGTACGCCAAGTCGCGGTTTCGCCCAAGGGGGAGCTTGTCGCAGCAACCGCTGATGGGCTGTATGCCGAGACCGAGGCTGGTTTCCAGCCGATGATGGTAAACGACGGCGAAGGGCGCGTCTGGGGCGCTTCCGACGTGCGGGGCGTGGCGTTCGACAGTGCTGGGCAACTTTGGTTCGGCGTGCTAGCCGGGGCGGCATGTCGTACACCCGAGGGGTGGAAGTTCTTCACCGGGGACGATGGCCTGCCCTATAACGACTTCACCGTGCTCGAGGCGGGGCCCGATGGCGAGGTGTGGTTTGGTACGCACCTCGGAGCGGTTCTTTTCGACGGCAACTCCTGGGTATATCGCCAAGGAAAGCGGTGGCTGCCCGACGACGACATTCGCGACATCGCAGTGGACGAGAATGGCAACGCCTGGTTCGCCACGGCCGGCGGGGTTGGGTCGATCGAGCGTCGGATGATGACGCTGGCCGAGAAGGCCGAATTCTACGAAGACGAAATGGAGCGCTACATTCGCCGCACGCCCTACGGTTATGTTTCAGAGGTGAGCCTTTCCAGCCCCGGCGATAAGTCGGAGATCACCTATCACGACAGCGATAACGATGGTCTGTGGACCAGCATGTATGGTGCCGGCGAGTGCTTTGCCTTTGCGGCCACCGGCGACCCCAAAGCCAAAGATCGGGCGAAACGTGCTTTCGAGGCGTTGCGGTTTCTGCAGAAGGTGACCCAGGGCGGTGAGAACAGCCCACCGAAAGGGTACGTCGCTCGCACCATTCTTTCGACCGACAAGCCCGACCCGAACTTGGGCCGCTTGGAGCACGACCGCCGCAATCGAGACAACGGTGACACGCTATGGAAGGTGTACGAGCCGCGCTGGCCGAAGAGCGCCGACGGTAAGTGGTATTGGAAGAGCGACACCAGCAGTGATGAAATCGACGGGCACTACTTCTTCTACCCCTTGTATTACGACCTGGTAGCCGATACCGAAGAAGAACGCGAACGCGTTCGTGAGGTGGTCCGCGACTTGACCGATCATCTCATCTCGCACGACTACAGCCTGGTCGATCACGATGGTACGCCGACCCGGTGGGGATATTACGGCCCGGAAGCCATGAATTACGACCCGGCCTGGTGGGAAGAGCGGGGCCTGAAATCGCTGAGCATGCTCTCGTATCTCGCTGTGGCACAGCACATGACGGGCGACCCCAAGTATGGCGAGCACATCAAGAAGCTGATGCGCGATCATGCCTACCACACCAACGCCATGATCTACAAGATCCACCGCGGCGCCGGCTCGGGCAATCAGTCGGACGATGAAATGGCGTTCATGTCGTATTACAACCTGGTGAAGTATGCAAAAGACAAAGAACTCCGCCGCCGCATCTTGCTGTCGTTCTACAGTGCCTGGCTGGTCGAGCAGCCGGAGCGAAACCCCTTCTTCAATTTTGCCTATGCGGCATTCGGCGTGGGAGCCACCTACACCGACCAGTGGGGTACCCATTCGCTCGACCCCTGGGACGGTTGGCTGGAAGATTCGATGGCCACGTTGAAGGGCTTTCCGTTGGACCGTTGCGATTGGGCCCTGAAGAACAGCCACCGCCTAGATGTGATTGAACTGCGACCGCAGCAAGGCGTCGGCGTCACCTACCGCGCACGCCCCAACTCGGGCTACGTGGTGGGGGGCAAGGTGCTGCCGGTCGAAAACCGCCACTTCAACCACTGGAACACCAACCCCTGGGCCCTCAACTACGGCGGCAACGGCACCGGCCTGGCCAGCGGCACCGTGTTCTTGTTGCCGTACTATATGGGTTTGTATCACGGGTTTATTGAGGAGGTGAAGTGAAACGCAGGTGCGGTCCAGCTAGGACAAGCCCGGTAGATAGTCTCCCTCTAACTCCAATAGCCGCCGCTTGATTTCGAGCCCTCCGCCGTAGCCGGTGAGGGTGCCGTTGCTGCCGATCACGCGGTGGCAGGGAATGATGATCGGGATGGGGTTGCTCCCGTTGGCGGCGCCCACCGCGCGGGAGGCGGCCGGGCGATTGATCCCGCGGGCCAACTCACCATAGCTGGTGGTCGTGCCATAAGGGATCTTGGTGAGCGCCTTCCATACCTGCTGTTGAAACGGGGTGCCCTCGGGCTCAAACGTCACGTTGAACTCTTTCAACTCGCCGGCGAAGTATGCTTCGAGTTGTTCGATTACCGCTTCGCACATAGGGCTTCCCTGCGACCAGGCGCTGCCCACTTTGTGCGGCTGGTTTTTGTTCTCGAACCGAATCTCCTTAACTGCGGTTTCGTCGGTCACGATCAGTAATTCACCCACTGGGCTGGTATAGAACTGGTAGAACCGAGTGGTGGGTTCGTGCGTGGGCGATGTCTTACGAGTAGTTGTGTGAGTCATCTGTCTGCTATTACCCTTCAGAAGCGGTGGGGTGTTATGACTGGGATTGTGTGTGGCCGACCGCGGTAGCATTGCTTTGTGCTTATTTCCTTAAGACCTACCGCGAAGCGGTTTAACATCAAAGCCCAGGGGCAGCGGCAACGCCGCGCCACCCTGGGTGCCAGGTGCGGATAGGCCAAATGAACCTTGGAAAGGTTCTACAGACTATACAGTTGTGCAACCCTTTCAGGGTTGATTTTTTGCTTAGGCTTCTATCCCAGGGTGGCGCTGCGCTTACCCTGGGCTTTGTTGTGTGACCCCGTTGGGGTCGGTTCTTCGGTGGCTGACCTGGTTGGGGGGCAATTATTCGACGTATTAGGCCGTGAGGATGAATTTCAAAACTTTCTCATCATGCCGCCGTGGTTGTTCGATTTGGTTTGGTTTGTTTGTTTAGCGCCGCACTTTGTTTCCAGAGATACATCGCCGCGTAGGCACGCCACGGGCGCCATTGTTGGGCGAGTTGTTCGAGTTGTCGCCCGGACATGGGGTGGCTGTCGGGTGCGGCTCCTTTGCGTAGGCCCAGGTCGTCGGCGGGAAACGCATCGGGGTCGCGAAGGGCCCGCATGGCGATGTATTCGACGGTCCAACGTCCCACACCGGGGATCGAAAGCAGGGTCTTCCGCGTTTCCGTGGGGTCAGCTGTCGCGTTGAGTTGCAATTCCCCGCGGTCGATTAGTTGGGCCAATCGTTGGATCGAAGCGATACGGGCGGTGGTCAGGCCCAGGTTCGAAAGATCTGTCTTACCCAGCACATGCGGTGTCGGGAAGCAATGCGTTAACCCTGCGTTGTTGCCTGCTGTTAGTCTTGTCCCGCACCGTTCTACCAACCGGCCGGCCAGCGTGGTGGCGGCCTGAACGGACACCTGTTGCCCCAGGATCGCGCGAACGGCCAACTCGAAGCCGTCCCATGCTCCCGGCACGCGTAGCCCCGGCCAGCGACGTAAGGCTGCCGCCATGGTGCGGTTGCCGCTGAGTACCGACGCAATCTCTCGCGGATCGGCGGACAGGTCGAACATCGATCGCATGCGTTCGGTGATATGAAGCAATGCAGATGTGTCTGGATGCTGCACTCGCAACATTATTTCGTTCTTGTCTTCCGCGTCTTGGGCTTCAATCATCCCGACTTTATTACCAAAGCTGATCGTCCTGCGATAACAATGACCTTCCACCTGTTCGACTCCGGGGGTGGCACGGAACCGCAAGAAATCGAGCATTGCTTCCCAATCGTAAGGGGGTCGATAGGGAAGCCGTAGAGTGAGACCTTTTGCACTGTCGGTTCTCGGTTGTTTTGCAGCCGCATGTCGTAACTCGGTTGGTGTGGCCAGGAAAGTTCTCTTCACCAGCGAATTGAACCGCCGAACACTGTTGAACCCGGCGGCGTGGGCGACGTCGGTCATCGAGAGATTCGTCTGGTCGATCAGCTTTCTCGCGAAATGCACGCGACGGGTTTGGGCCACGGCCAACGGTGAGGCGCCCACATGTTCGTCGAAGAGCCGCCGGAGGTGGCGACTGCCCACGCCCAATCGTACGGCAAGCTCCTCGATGGTTGCGTTGTCGAGTGCTCCTTCGTCGATCAGCCGCAGCGCTCGGGACACCGTGCTCGAGGTGCCCCGCCACACGGGCGAGCCGGGGGCGGTTTCGGGGCGGCAGCGGAAGCATGCCCGAAAGCCGGCCTCTTCGGCGGCCGCGGCACAGGGGAAGAAGCGGACGTTCTTCCGCTGCGGAGTTCGGGCCGGGCACACCGGTCGGCAGTAAATGCCCGTCGTGAGAACGCCCGTGTAGAAGCGTCCATCGAATCGCGGGTCGCGACTTTGCAGGGCTCGGTAACAGGTGTCGGGGTCGAGGTTCATGCACTCAGGATATCGCTGGGGTGACCAACTGTCTGGCCACTTTCGGACCTGTGCATGGGGCCTGGGCGGGAGAGGATATTTCCCGATAATCGCCACAAACCCCCACACCGAAACAAGATGCTGAAAATGTGCCCCCTAAGAGAAACCCATTGAGCGTGGGGACCGAGGCTGAATGGCAAGCTATGATTATTTGATCGGTCGTATTAATCGCAGGGCCAGGTAAGCAGAGATGTCGTCATGAGCGAACTCAATCGCACGAACGACCAAACGGGGCGCAACACACCGGAACCGCAGCGAACACGCAAGTTTGAGCTCAGCCGTCGACGGTTTGCGTTTTGGGTCGGGCTGGGTCTGTTCAGCCTGGGCGAGAAGCTGCGAGCGAATGCCTTCGACGAACTTGCCGCGGCGACCATGCGGCATGCGGAACCTTCGCAGCCGAAGTCGAAGGACGATGCGAAGTCGCCGGAGCACTGGACGGCCGCCGAGAACCGCACCTGGCGGTGGTTCGAACGCGAGAACATGATCGACGGGGAGTGGAAGCTGACCGGCATCACCACCCCGGTGCACAAGCGAACCGGCGAACGCTACGAAGGCCGCGACGGCTACCTCGACGAAAGCCTGGTGCCGCCGGAAGTTCGTAAAGGTTCCTGGCCACAACGCGTCGAAGCAAACTACGGTGAAGAAGTCGATGATGTGCCCGAGGGCGAGCCCGGCAAAGTGAGTGCGGCGCGAAGAGCCCGACACGGTCGACCGCCGAGCAAGTGGCTGCGGAGCTTAAACGCCGACGAGCTGCGGATCTGGATGGCCAAGATCGAAGTGCCCGAGGCCGGCGTGAGTGGGATGACCTTCTGGACGCATCTCACCCGCGATCACTCGTTCGACCCGGAGCGGATCGAAGGGCTGACGATCGACGAACAGGCGAAACTCCACGCGGCCGCACACTACGGGTATTAAGCCGTTGATTGCCTTGGCTTTTTTTGTGGAAGCTGGGTGATGCCTAGGCTAAGTATCTCGCGAGGATGGAGGCAACTCGTTGTGCTAAAGGGAAGAGAACCACGACGGCACAACGACACGACGAAAAGCCAGTAAGGATTTGGCGTCTCTGATATTTGCCATGCGTTCGGTTAGTTCAAGTCAGACTTATTCTCTTAAATGTCTCACGAATCAGCTTCGATCATTCGTGGGCGAGTATGAATCAAAGCGTTTACGTCGTGCCGTTGTGTCGTCGTGGTTAATCTCTGACTCTGCCTTGGCAGTTAGCCTTCCACCACAGCTAAACCATTCTCAGAGAAACCGAACCGTTGCAGTTCAGCCGATATCACTTCGAAGGCAGAACTACTTCGGCCGAGACGGGGAAGTGATCCGACGGGTAGCGGCCGTCTTCGTTGGTGCGGATGATTTCGGCCGCTTCGACGGTTGTGGGTGGGTCGACGAAGACGAAGTCGATTTTGGCTCCATCCGTGCGGCCGCGGAAGCCGTTGAAGGTGCCGAACTCTTCGGCATCGGGATGAACGACACGGAAGCTATCGAGCAGCTTCGGCCCTGAGGGGGCGTCCTCGTTCTTGAGTCGAACAATGGCCGGGTTGTCTTCGCCGGCGTTGAAGTCGCCCATCACCACCACCGGCGCGGTGCCGGCTTTTACCGCGATGAGATTCGAGAGAAACTCGGCGCTCTTCAGGCGTGAAGGCTGCGAGATGTGATCGAAATGGGTGTTGAAGACGTAGATTTCAGCGCCTGAGTCTTTCTCGGTGAAGCGGGCCCAGGTGACGATGCGAGGGATGCTATTACCCCAATCGGCCGAGGCGGGCTCGGTCGGGGTGTCGGAGTACCAGAGCGTTTCTCCGGTGTCTAACTGCCAGCGATCTTTGCGGTAGAGAATGGCCGAGTATTCGCCCTTGGTCTTGCCGTCATCGCGTCCGACGCCGAATTCTTCATACTCGGGCAGGTTCTTGCGGATGGCATCGATCTGGAAACGCAAGGCTTCCTGCAGTCCGCAGAAGTCGGGCTGCTGTGAGCGAATCACGTCGTAGACCAATTCATGCCGTAGCGGCCAGGCATCTTTCCCGTCGTTGGCGGTTCCGTAGCGGATGTTGAACGACAGGAGTTTCACGCGAACTTCGGAGCCATGCGTAACGCCCTGTCCTACAGTGATTGCCAGGGCCAGGAACAACAGGAAGAAACTCAGTCGCATATTGTGTACTCCGCCGGTGCAGCACTAAGAAAGCAAGTGTGAAGACACTTAGCTTAGCAGATCGAACACATCGACGCGGCCGAAATTGGGGGTGTTGCCGTCTTTGTTGCGGGGCTGGCCTTGCGTGCCGGTGAGGATGAGCCGCTGGCCGTCGGCGGTGAAGTGGGCCCCCGTGACTCGGCATTCGGTCTTGAGCGAGTCGAGCAGGCGACCGTCTTCGGTGCTGAACAGGGCGACGTTCCAGGAACCGCCGCGGAGGCGACCTCCCATCACGAAGCGATCGCCTGCGGGATGAACGGCCAGGGCTTCCATGAGGCCTTCGCCCGACTCGTCTTTATGGGTTTCGTCGATCTTCCGCGGAGGGCTTTCTTGCCAGGCGAACTTTTCCCATAGCTGGCGACCGTTGCCGGCCATGGGGTCGCGCATGGGGCCCATGCCGGCCAGCAGCAGTGCAGAGCCATCGGGCGTGAACCGCAGCGCGAAGATTCCGCCGAGGTAACAATGGCTTTTAATGATGCCCCAACTCGTGAAGTCGGGCGTAGTCCAGTTGGCCGCCATCTCACCGGTCGTCAGGTCCCACACGCGAACCTCGCCCATGAGGTTGCCGGCCGCGACGTAGCGACTGTCGGGACTGAACGCCACGGCTTGCACTGAAGGAACGTGCGGGAAGCTGTGCAGGATTTCGCCCGAGGTGGCTGAGAGCACCTGGACTGAGGGTTCGCGTTCGGCCTGAGGTTCGTAGCGATAGCCGCCGGCGAGGTACTGCCCTGTGACGGATGCCACGAGTTGCTTGTCGGGAGAGAGGGCCATCTCCCACGACCAAAACCCGTGCAAGGGAACGCGGCGGATTCGTTCGTTCTTTTCTAGATCGAACCACTGCAGAGCGCCGTCGTACCCGGCGGTGATTAACGTGTTGCTTTCGGGAAGCAGGGCTGCGGAACTGGCGTAGCTTTCGTGTTTGTCGAGCAGTTCGTATTCGCCCGAGTCGACATTCACGCGATACACCCCGTCCATGCACGAGGCGAACAGCGTCTGTCCGTCGGGCGCAAGGTCGGCCCCCAACACGGCCGTGGGCACGTGGTGCAGGTGGATGCGATCGGTGAAGTGTTTATCGGATTCCATGAGCTTGGTTGCCGGTCAGGCGAGCACCTCCTGGAGCGGTTCGGCATCGCCTTCGACACGTTGGAACGTAGGCAGCCCGGGCAGGTCGTATTCTTCGTGCGGGTCGATTCCCAGGGCGGAGAAGAAGGTGGCGAACAGCCGGCGGTTGTCGATCTCGCCCTCGATCACTTCGTTGCCCAACTCGTCGGTCGCGCCGTGCACCGCACCGGGTTGAATACCGCAACCGGCCATGGCCATGCTCCAGGCATTGGGGTAATGGTCGCGGCCTCGCGCGCCGTTGAGCCAAGGGGTGCGGCCGAACTCGCCCATGGCGATAACGAGGGTGTCTTCGAGCATGCCACGTTCTTCGAGATCGTTCACCAAATGGAACAGCACCTGGTCCAACTCAGGCACCAGCATCTGGTGCATCTCGTGGTTGTAGACGTGATTGTCCCAGGGCATACCGTTGGCCACCATGACAAACGTGCTGCCGTTCTCGATGAGGTGCCGGGCCTGCAGGGCGTGTTGGGCGAAGGCACCGGGGCCGTAACGCTGGCGGTCGGCCTCGGGCAATTGATTCATATCGAACAGAGGCGCGGAACTCATGAGGCCGTTCACGCGTTCGAACGCGGCATTGTATGAAGCGGCGGCTTGGCTGCGCTGGTCGTTTTCGAACTTGCGACTGAAGAAGCGACGCAAGGCCTCGCGATCAGCGTGGTCGACTTCGGTTAGCGCTTCTGGTCGCACGAGATCGGGAATGGTGTATTCCCCGCCGGCGCGAACCGGGCCGTACTCGGCGCCGAGCCAGCCCGCCCAATTGCCGGCTTTGAACGACTTGAACTCGTTGCCTTCGGGGCAAGGGTCGAGCAGAACGAACTGCGGCACGGGCGAATCGAGCTGGCCGAGTTGTTGGGCGACTACGGATCCCAGCAACGGGCGGGTGAACGGCGGACGGGGACCTTCGCCGCGAGTGAGCATGTCGATGGCCTGAAAGTGCTCCGACGGCTTAGTCTTCATTGAGCGGATCACGGCCAGCTTGTCGATGATCGTCGCGCACTTGGGCATCAGCTCGCTGATTTGAATGCCGGGGATTGTGGTGTCGATTGCCCCGAACGGCCCGCCGGTTGAGGTGCCGGGCTTGGGGTCCCACGTTTCAAACTGGCTGGGAGCCCCGCAGAGCCACAACAGGATGCAGCGTTTGGCGTTTTGCTGGGCCTGTTGGGCGAAAGCGGGAATGGAGAACAAGCCGTTAAAGCTGGCGACCGATGCGGTGCCGGCGGCCATGGTGCCCTGCAAGAACAATCGCCGGTGCAGCGTATGCTCGGGGCTGCCGCAGTCGTTGCGCGATGGTTTGTGGGGCTTGGCGGACATGGGTGCTTGGTCTTAGTGGTTAAAATGGAACTCGGCGCCGGTGACGATCGCCCATACTAGATTGTCGAGTGATTCCTCCAGTGAGTCGCTTCCCTGCAAGAAGGCGACTGCGGCGGCCTGCTCTTCTTCGGAAGGGGCGCGGCCCAGCGATGTTTGGAAGAGCGTGTCGACGCGGGCATCGTGTGTGTCTAATTCCATCAGCCGGGGCACGAGGTGATCGGCCGAGTGGCTCGTGCGGATGAACTGATCGAACGCCGGGGTGTTGCTAAGGAACAACGCGTTCTTCACGGGGGTGTTGGTCTCCTCGGGTAGCACTTCGGCAAACTGCTCGCGGAGCGGATTGATGATATCGGCCGATTCGTTCATGTGGCCATGCAGCACGAGTTGCAGCGAGCGTGCGTACTGCTCGGCTGTGAGTGGCTTCTGCAATGCCCAGGCAAAGTGAGCAGGGTCGTCGATGCCCTCGGGCCGTAGAGATTCCAGCGCGTAGGCTTCACTGAGCGCGATGGCACGAACGAGGCGCTTGATGTCAAAGCCATTCGTGGTGAAGTCTTCGGCGAGCCAGTCGAGTAGCTCGGGGTGACTGGCGTCGTGCATCGAGTCCATCTCGTCGAAGGGATGAATGATGCCTCGCCCCAGGAGCATCGCCCAGATGCGGTTTACGAAAGCACTGGGAACTCGGGGTTGGTCGGTGAGGATTTCTTCGACGAACTTCTCGCGACGGGAGAAGATGGGGACGCGGGGATCGCCCTCGACGGCGGCCGCGCGATACAGGTCGTCGGAGTCTTCCTGCTTCTCGTCTGGTGCGGGGCGAGGTTCGGCGACGGGTTCGGAGTCGAGCATACTCAACACGTTCGGGTGACTTTCGCCGTAGATATTGGCGTACTCTTCGAACCCGCCGATGGCCGACTCGGCGATGCGGGGGCCGTTGTCGGTCTTTACGTTGGTGCCACGTCGGTAGAAGGCCACGAGACCCCAGTAGTGTTCTTGTTCGATCTCGGCGCACAACGGATGATCGTGACACTGAGCGCATTCGATGCGGGTGCCAAAGAAGGCCGGACCGATGGCCTCGGCGATGGCCTGATGCTGATTGTTGCGTTCGTAGAGAAACCAGACACTGCCCTGATCGACTTCGCCGGTGGGGCGGGCGAGCAGGATTTCGCGAGCGACGTCGTTCCAAGGGCGATTCTCGCGGAACACCCGCTGGAGATAGTCGACCCAACCGTTGGCTTTTCGCTGGCGATAGTCGTTCGGCGAGCCGCGGCCCATTAGGAGCGTGTCGAAGATTTCGGCCATATGCACGGCGTAGTCTTCGCTGGCCAGAAGGTCGTCAACCAGTTGAGCCCGTTTGTCGGGCTGGGGGCTGGCTAGAAAACGGTCGCGTTCTTCCACCGTAGGGATGCGGCCGGCCAGGTCGAGATACAACCTGCGAACGAAGGTGGCATCGTCTGCCGAGGCGGCGGGAGTTACGTCGGCCTCGTTCCAATGCGACGTGATGAAGTGGTTGATGGTCGCGGTGGGGTCTTGGTGGTCGGCGGCGATCTCGGGCGTGGACTGGGCGAATGTTTTCGTGCCCAGTGCCACTGTACAGAGTGCAACGCAGGCCAGGATCAAGGTGTTCGAGCGATTCGCGATGTTGGTGCGGAGCATGCCGAAATCAACTGCGATCTGGTGGTGGGTGTTGGGGGCAACCAAGTGGCTGCCGGCAGGACCATTTAGCCTAACGCGCTGGGATGAAAATGAACAGTTCTTTGTCCGATGCCCGTCGCAAATGCCGTCCGTTTAACCCGATTTTCCGACATACTCACCACTTAGTTGGCCGTGCTGCTTGGTGACTCGATACGGTAGAGATGCTTCTCAGTGCGGATGAGGATTGCCCCGGGGGCCAACGCATAGGAGGCCAGCGATTGCTCTGCGAGATCGTTCTTCGAGAGCACGTTGAATTCCCGGCTGGCTTCGATCACGGTGCCCTCGCCCGCTTCGTTTTGGAAGTAGACCTTGCCGTCGGCAGCAACCGGCGAAGCGGAGAAGCCGCCGCCGAGGCGTTCTTGCCAGATGGGCTCGCCCGAGTGTGCATCGACGCAGCTGGCCACACCGCGATCGGATACCATGAAGAGTTCGTCGCCCACGACGACGGGCGATGGCGTGTTGGGGGCACCCTTGGAAACGGTCCAGGCCACATGGGTGTCGGTTACATCGCCCTGACCATCGGGACGGATGGCCAACAGGTTGGGCTTACCAAAACCGGTGCAGATGAATAGCAGCCCGTCGTGGTACACCGGGCGGGGTACAACCGAATAGCCATCGTACTTCACATGCCAGATTTCCTCGCCGGTGGTGGCATCGAGTGCTGAGACAATATCGCTGCCGGGACAGATGACTTGTTCGCGCCCAGCGACGGTAATCAACAGCGGGGTGCAGAAGGAGAACTTCTTAGTGGCATCGACCGGACGCGGTGCGCGCCACAGTTCGTAGCCATCGCTGCGACGCAGGGCGATCACGAAGGGGTCTTCTGCCCCATCGCAAGTGAAGATGACGGCATTGTCGGTGACGACCGGGGAGCCTCCGTTGCCATGCACCGGTGGGTAGGCGAATTCGTTGTTGCGCCAGATGATGTTGCCGGCGAGGTCGAGACAGGCGATGCCCTGATGACCGAAGTGGGCGTAGAGCCGGTCGTCGACGATCAGCGGGGTCGGGCTGGCGTGACTGTTTTTATTGTGGATGTTCGGCGAAGCTTCGGCATCGGGCGTGAAGACGGCGGTTTCCCAAATGGTGGAACCGTCGGCGTAGTCGAGGCAAAGCACCTTCAAGGTGTGTTGCTCGTTTTCGCCTTCGTCGTCGCTATCACTGCCGACGACCGCCGTGGTGAGATAGATGCGGTTGTTGTGGAGGATGGGTGACGACCAGCCGGTGCCGGGAAGTTCCTGTTTCCAGGCGACGTTTTCGGTGGTGCTCCACGAGACGGGCATGTCTTTCAGTTGCGAAGTGCCCTGCCCCGACGGGCCGCGGAATTCAGGCCAGTTCTCTGCGTGGGCTGTGTTGTTGATGAGCGCAAACGAAAAGCAGACGGTCGCGAGTGAGGAGCGCAACATGGTCTTGGCCTTTGAACTATCGAGCTGGGTGGGATTGGATGCTGGTGGGGGCTTCGGGGGTTGAGTCTTACCGCATGGCGGAAAAGTTGTGGGCCTGAACTGCCCACGAGGTCTATTGACTATGGTGCCAGTGAAGAGCTTTCATTCACGATAACTTCTCCACCGCTAGTAACACATGTACCCTCACCATAATCTATTGATGGTACTTCATTCCATGAGGCCAACGGTCGACAGTTCCCAAGAGCAGCTAGCTCCAGGTAGCGCTGCAGGCGGGCAACTAGACCTGCGATATCCGAACGAGGTCTATTCAAAGCGTTGGCCGTTATCGATCGGTTGACCGCTGAGAGTCGAGGCACCATAGGCGCCGTTCTCGCTGGCCTGTCCGGGACGGCCCAATTCACTTGGTATCTTGGTCTTGGTCAGTACGTCGAGGTTAGGTGACGTGAGCCGCTTGAGTCCGGCGTCGAGAGACTCGCCCTTTTCAAGCCAAATCGTCATGCCCGGCTGCGCGAGATAGCCGCGCTTGTAAACGGTTTCTCCATTGAGCTTCATTTCCAACAACGAGGAGTGGGGAGTGACTGTCCGCTCGACGATATCGGAAGGCTGCGGGCGAAAACGATCGCCGGTGTTGATCCTGAGTTTCTGCTGTTCCTGCGGTTTGCAGATGGCACTCAGCACTAGAGGCGCGTCTTCGACGACAACCAGACCCGCCTCCGTTGCGTTTTCCTCGATTGTCGTGCGCACTTCGTCCGACGAACCGACGCTTGGATGAATGTCGACCTCGATCTTTACCTCGGTGCCCGGCTTGACGACCAAGAGGCTGTCTGGCGAACCGAGCGAATCGGCCATTTCCACAGCGTCTGCATGGGGGATTGCACTGGAGAGCAAATTCGCGCCGCTTGGTGAATCGGGCTTGGAAACGAACCAGAATCGGCCTCCCTGGTGAACTGTGGCTTCTGGTCGTTCTGAGCTTGGGCCGTAATCCCATAAGAGAATGCGACGGTTGGCGTCGAAGAGATACCGATTACTCAACAGCAGAAACTCTCCCGCCCAAGTCATGCCGTTGCGAGCGTTGATGACATGGTGACACAGAGTTCTGACATGCTCTCCGGTAGTCAAATCCCAAACCAGAACATCCCCCTTCCCTGCCGCCGCAAGACGGAGGTTGTCAGCACGAAACGCTAATGCGACGAATGAACCGGTTTCTTCACACTCGATTGTTGCGCGGTGCGTGCCCTCGACCAAGTCGATGATGGCAATCCCCTGTTCCATGGCAATGGCCAGAAGTGTGCGGTCGGGGCTCATCGCTGTTTTCAGGCCAATGGAGGAGCGAACCGGCACGTTGATCAGCGCCTGCGCCTTATCGACATCCCACACGGTTAGCGCCTTACCCATTGAGTTGATCGACATTACACGATCGGTGCTGAGAAACCAGGCATGTTCAATATCTCTTGAGGGCTTGAAATCCATCTCCTCGTACGGTCGCCAACTCGAGACGGTCGTCAGTTTGTCGTCGTGCAGTTGCGCAAAGATCAAATCCATGTTTTTACCCGACCCAAAATGGTCTTCTCGATACACAACGCGTCCCGATTGTGGATCTGCATCAAGCAGTGCCGTCACTTCCGGTAGCGCGATGAGTCCTTCGGATTCGCCTTTTTCGAGGTCAACTAATTCGACGTAACGTTGACCGTCGCCAACCTTGCCCTGCTCACGACCGACGATCGCGCGGCGACCATCGACGGAGATGCGCAGCAGGTCTACACCTTCGAAGAATTCTTTAGAACCTGGGATGTCCCTCAGCTTGACGGTCGGCGGGTTGCTGGTCACCAGCGGCATGCCCGACGAACTCGGCTTGAAGGTCCACTCGTTGAAGCTCCTGGGACGAAGGGTTTTAACATTGGACCAGTTTGCCCTGCGCGGCGTGCTGGAAGGTATCGTGGACGGTTCCGACGTGACGAGGGCGTGGTCGCCGAACGGATTCTCCTGCGAGTCGACAGCGCGTCTTGCGTATTCGGCGTCGGCTGCTGAGAGCTGGTCGATCGGGACCTCAATCTGCTTACCGTCCTCTCTCTCCAGAGCGACCTTGTCGTCCTGCAACCGAAGAAAGGTTGCTTGGACGCTGAACTTGCCGTTACTGCTAGTCCATGTGCGTAGTGTCTCCGCCGATGGACTCTTCGACCCGCCCGTCACATGACGCACGGCATCAACCCTCTCTGTGACCGTGCGACGCTGGAGACGCGCTTGTTCTGTCATGTGCTTCAGCAGCTCTGGTGGTAGATCGAGCTCATCCAGAAGGACCTCGATTCGATCGAAGCGGCGATCGACGTTCGTAACGACACCTGCTTTCCAATTGTCGAAACGCTCGACTTCAACTCGATCACCAACCTCGAACTCGCCCCCGGTCTCAGCTAATGCGTAGCCGCACCATGCAATTCCAAAAGTTGCAACTAACGCGAAGACAACCGCATGAAGAGGGCGTGACATGTCTCACTCCTACTAACCGAGGTTTCCCATTCGGGTCTTGAGCCGCCGACTGGGCGATGCCGCCGAGTCATGGGCTCACTTATCTTGACCGGGCTTCTCATCAAACGCAAATTGTTGAGCCCGCATTCGTGTCCGGAAACCGCCTGTAATGCTCCTGGCGGGAGCTTGGTGGCGTGTGATAGCCTCTCGACGCACAAGCCTTCTAGAACTGGCCTGCGGTGAGCTGAGAATCTGACCCAATACTTCACGTATCGAAGCTGCTTGCCTATTTGAGTGGCTTGCCCCACCGCCGACGTGACGCATTGCGGGGCGACGGCCAAGCGTTAGGCGTCGATAAAGTCTTCCGTGAAACGATTCAAATTGGGAATGCGGAGTGAGGTTATGTTCGCAGTTTTGCGATGGTCAATGGTTTAGGCAAACACTACTCTTTCGAGATGAAGACTTGATGAACACCACGGATTTCATCGCCGTGGGTGAGTTCGGCTTCGATGGTGGCGTTGCCGGAGGGTATCTCGACGCTGTTGAACTCGGCTGAGTCTTGTCCGGGGGCGATTTGCGTTGTGACTTGTTTGAAGTTGCCGGGGGAGCCGATGCGGAAGGTCAGGGTTTCTGCTTCTTTGCCGGGATCGAACACAGCTTTGATGTTGTACTCGGCTCGGTTGGCGACGAACACGAGCCACTTGCCGAGCGAGTTGCGGTTCCAGCCTTGATCGTCGCTGAGTCGTCGCCAGTCTTGTCGCGTGAGCACCGTGGTGGTTTCGTGCGGCGTGCCGATGTGGATCCGCGGCGGGGCATAGTTGTCGGGTCGGGTGGAACTGACCGAGGCGAACCAGTCGTCGTAGTCTTGCTTCATTTTGGCGACCACTTCGGGGTGTTCGTCTGCCACGTTCTTGGTTTCGCCGGGGTCGTTCACGGCGTCGTACAGTTGGAAGTGCAAACCGCCGGGTGGTTCGGGTACGCCTTCGGGCCATTTGCCTTGCTCATGGACCAGCTTCCATTGTTGTGAACGAGCGCCGAAGTTCTTGTAAGGCGTGGCTTCGTTGCCCCGATGCCATTGCAAGAACACGGTGCGATCGGGCCAGTCGGTTTCTTCGCCGGCAAGTAGCGGCAGAATGTTGCGGCCGTCGATGGCGAGATCTTCGGTTTTCTCAACTTGGCAGGCTTCGAGGATGGTTGGCAGCACATCGACGTGGGCGGCGACGCGATCGGATTGATGACCCGCCTCGAGTTTGGCCGGCCAGTGGGCGAGCAAGGGGGAGCGAATGCCTCCATCGACCACCTGGCCTTTGCTGCCGCGAAGTGGGCCGACGTATCGGTGGCCGTTAGGGCCGTTGTCGACGAGGAATAGCACCAGGGTATTCTCGTAGGCGTCGACTTCTTTGAGTTTCTCGAAGAGACGCCCGATGTTTTGATCGATGTTGGTCTCCATCGCGTAAATGCGGGCCGTGGTGTCTTTCGCTTTTTCGTAGGCTTTCTCGGAAGTGCCGGGAGCCATCCCCTCGCGAAGATCCAAGTCCATGTACATTTTTCGCAGGTCTTCAGGCACATCGTGGAAGGGACCGTGCGGGGCGTTGGTGGCGATGTAGGCGAAGAAGTTCTCGTCGTTGTCGACAGCCTGTTGCATGAAGTCGAAGGCGGCGTCGAAGTAGATGTCGGTGCAATAGCCCTCCATTGCCACCTCTTCGTTATTGTGGAAGAGAATCGGGTCGGTGTACTTGCCTTCGCCGCCGAGGGGATCGGAGGGTTGTCCGATGCCGCCACCGCGATGGCAAAGAACTTCGTCGAAGCCCTGATCGCCGGGCCGCATGGGATAGCTGTCGCCCAGATGCCATTTGCCGAATTGCCCGGTGACGTAGCCGGCTGGCTTGAGGACTTCGGCGATGGTCACTTCGGCCGGGTCCATCATCGCGCGACCGATGTAAGTGTCGATGGCGCGGGTGCGGTAGTTGTAACGACCGGTCATCAGACAGGCTCGCGTGGGAGTGCAGACCGGGCTGACGTAGAACTGCGTCATCTGTGCGCTACGTGCGGCCATCGCGTCGAGGTTGGGTGTCTTGACGACGGTGTTGCCCATGAAACCGAAGTCGCCGCAGCCCTGGTCGTCGGTCATGATGAGAATCACATTCGGACGTGACGCGGCGGCCACGCGGGCGGAACTGCATGCGGTGGCGATCAGGGCGAGAAGCGTGATGAGACACAGCACGAGTTGAGGGTGTCGAGCGAGCATGGAGACCTTTTCGTTCTCAGGTTGAGTGGACTGTTACCAGGATACCAAGAGACGAGGGCTGTGCCGAATTTTGTCGCCGCTTGGAAGACGGTAGTACCTGCGATACGATCACGGACGTTGTTGGTGAATTGAGCCGACCCAGCGAGTAGATACTTCCGCCGATACGAGGACCGAGATGAGCGAAGCAGATTTTGAAGGACGAACCGTTCTGGTAACCGGGGGTTCACGGGGGATTGGGCGGGCTTGCTGTTTGCGGTTGGGCAAAGCTGGGGCTCGTGTGGCGGTCAATTATCACTCGCGAGCCGACGATGCACTGGAGACGGCCCGACAGGTGGAAGCACTCGGTGCCGAGGCGATGACCGTGCAGGCAAACGTGGCGGATGAGACTTCGGTGGCCGACATGGTGGCCCGGGTGAACGAGCGGCTGGGCTCGATCGACATGCTGGTGAACAACGCTGGCATCTTCGAGTATGTGGACCACGAGCATGCCACGCTGGAGCATTGGAAACGAACGATCGAGGTGAACCTTACCGGTCTGTACATCGTTACCTGGGCGGTGAAGCCGCAGATGATCGAAAAGAAGTTTGGCCGCATCGTGAATATGTCTTCCATCTCGGCGCTGCGACCGCGCCCGTATGGAATTGCCTACGCGGCGAGCAAGGCGGGAATGATTGCCTTCACGCAAAGCACGGCCGATGCGTTGGTCTCGCATAACATCCGTGTGAACGCGGTAGCCCCGGGCTTGATTGAAACCGAGATCATCGACGATGTGGATCAACCGACGATCGACCGGCTGATTGACCAAACGCCGATGAAGCGCATCGGTACGCCGGATGAGATCGCGGATGTGGTGCATTACCTCTTGTCAGAAGCCTCGCGTTTCATGACGGGACAGACGTTGGTGGCAAGTGGTGGACGGGTGATGTTGCCTTAGGGGGCGTGGTCTCGTTGTAAAATCGCGAGTTCTATATTGTCCATGTAACGCGTGGGAGTTGTTATTGGGGATTATTGCGCTGTTAGCTGCATGCAACCTCAGATGGCCTGAGGATTTCCTGTTCCAGCGTTGATAAACTTGCTCCCGGCAGTAAGGTCTTGCAGAATGCTGTCCACGGTGCGGCTGTGTCGCTTTTCTTGCAAGGCTTGTCGCAAACAAACGATCACGTACTCGAAGGGGGTAGTCGAGCATGCCATCGTATCAGCGTCGCTTTCAGCGATATCTTTCAGGCTCTGAGGCTCGTCAGTCGTTCCGACGAACTTCCCGTCAAGCGAGCACTTCTCGCCCGAGTGGCTTGAACATCGAGCCGCTCGAATCTCGCCAGATGTTATCGGCTAATCCGGAATTGCTTTTGGGCCCAACTATACTTCCGGAGAATTTCACTCCGGTTGGCGACTCGGTGTTCTTCACGAATTTCATTGGAGGAAAGCTCTGGGTAACCGATGGGACTCAGGAAGGTACGACGATGGTGGCCGACATCAACCCGGAGGGTAATTCCAATCTATTTTTAAATCTGACAGCGTTTGATGACCTGCTGATATTTGGCGCAGATGACGGGAGTGGATTCGAGCCTTGGGTTTCCGACGGGACTCTTGGTGGAACTGCGAAGATCAAGGATATCGATGCCTCCGGTTCTTCATTGTTCGCTGAGAACGGCTGGTACGTGCCATCCTACGCGGTTCCCTTCTATTTTTATGAGGGCGAACTTTATTTCGCTGCTGATGACGGTACTTCCGGGCAGGAGTTATGGAAGACCGACGGTACCGAAGCGGGCACTGTAATGGTTGCGGATATTCAGGTTGGAAGCGATGGCTCGTATCCCGGAGGGTTTGGTGGTGGCGTATTAGAGAGCCTGTTTATGGAAGGCGGATTTGTCGAGAGTGGCGGGACACTCTTTTTCGGGGCCCATACCCAAGCTGAAGGTTTTGAGCTTTGGAAGACCGATGGTACCCAAAACGGCACGATACTGGTCAAGGATATCAGGCCTGGCAGCGGCGATGAGAATTATTATGGAGTCGTCCTATACCGAGATGTTCTCCAACTAACCGATTTCGACGATACGGTGTTCTTTACCTCGGCCGAGAGCGAGAATGATTTTGAGCTTTGGAAGTCGGACGGTACGGAAGCTGGCACTGTGCGTGTCAAAGATATCCGACCAGGCCTTGAGGGTTCCTACCCGACACACCTTACCGTTATCGACAACACTCTCTTTTTCTTTGCGCAAGATGGACAGAACTACGATCTCTGGAAATCGGATGGAACTGAGGCGGGTACAGTATTAGTAAAAGATTTCACCGCAGGAACTATAGAGAACGTTCCAAGCGTGCACCATGTGGTTGTATCGGAGGGAACACTGTTTTTCGTGCTTGACGATGGTGTCCACGGTCGAGAACTGTGGAAGTCGGACGGCACGGAGGCGGGAACCTTTATGGTGGTCGATATCCAGTCAGGAGGCGTGGGGTCTGAGCCGTATGATCTCGTAGCTGTAAATGGCGGCGTGGCGTTTAGAGCCGATGATGGAATTCATGGGAAGGAACTTTGGGTCAGCGATGGGACCGAAGAGGGGACCTACCTTGTTACCGATCTCATCCCTGGAAGCGAATCCTCGTACCCTCGAGAATTGGTCTACGACAATGGGAAACTCTTTTTCGCGGCGGCCGACGCTGATAGTGTAATTCCATTTGCATTGCAGTCTGTCTGGGTGCTGGATATCTCACTTGGCTCCGTAGCCGATGCTGGCGGGCCCTACTCAGGGCCTGAAGGAGATTCGATTGTCCTTTCTGCGGCGAGCAGCACGGGGAATATCTTTTCCTACGAATGGGACTTCGATAACGACGGGCAGTACGACGATGCGGTGGGAGAGAATGTCAACTTCAACGCCACGGAGAATGGTGTGTACACCATCGGGCTGAGGATCAATGGTGCGGGTGGGCCGACCGATACGACTACGGTTACGGTGAATAACGTTGCTCCGGCGGCGAGCATTTCGGGTACGACTGCCATCTACCGTGGTGAGGAAGTAACGTTCACACTCGCCGCCAGCGATGCTTCGCCGGTGGATCAAGCCGGGCTGTTCAACTTTGAAATCGACTGGGATGGCAACGGCACCGTTGACGAGACCTTGTTAGCCGTGCCCAGCGGGACGACGGTGCAGCATGCGTTCCCGGATCTTTCGGCAGCGACGAACATTCAGGTGCGAGCGACGGATAAAGACGCCTCGACCGGTAGTTTTAGCCAGTTGCCAGTCACGGTTACGCCGCACGTGCTGCGTGATGACGGGTTTGGGAATACCGATCTCATCTACGGCGGAACGCCGGGGTTTGATGCGGTGTTCGTCCTGGGTCAGGCCCCGGGTATGTCGGTTTATTTCCAAGTTGAGAATGCCATCGCGACGAACCGGCTAGAGTTCCTCGGCTCTGCGATCACCGGGCGAGTGATCCTGCACGGTTATGGGTTCAGCGATATCTTGGCCGGTGAGTTGGGCCCGGGCAACGTGATGGAGATTTATGGTGGCGATGGCGATGATATCATCGTCGGCGGGTCGCTGGGCGACTTCCTGTATGGAGGGAATGGCGACGACATCATTATCGGCGGCACGCGTGCCACGGATGGTGACGACTACATCTCCGGTGGCGAAGGTCGCGACTCGCTATATGGCTACCTGGGAGCCGACACTCTCGACGGCGGTGCGGGTGAAGACTTGCTGGTGAGCGATCAATTCCTATTCACGAAACAACACTCCGCGATTCAGTCGATTCATGAAGAGTGGAAATCGGCCCGACCGTACTCCGAACGGATCAGTAACATCCTGGGCATCACCTCGACCGGTGTGAACGGTCCCTATAATCTGCAATCGGGTGTGACGCTTGTCGACGACGGTGCGGAAGACACCTTGATCGGCGGACTTGGTGAGTTGGACTGGTTCTTCTTCGATTTCGACCAAGACTTGCTCGGCGACACGATCGAAGTGGATGAAGAGGAAACGGATAGCGATCCGTAGTGGTTGCAGATGGCCAGAAGAGTACATGAAGGTAACCACTACTCGACGACCATAGGAGTAACGTTATGAGCGAGACCACACGCCGTTCGTTTTTGAAGCAGGGTTCGTTGGGGGTGGCGGGGGCTGCGGTAGTGAGCAGCTTGCCAAAGCAGGTCCGGGCAGCGGCTAACGACAAGTTGGTGATGGGGCTCATCGGTTGTGGGGGCCGAGGCTCGCATGTGGCTGAGTTGTTGACCCGGAGTGACAATGTCGAGTTCGCTTATGTCTGCGACCCTGATCGGGCGCGGTTGGCTCGGGCGTCGGAGAAGTTTTCGGCCACTTCGCCCAAGGCAGTCGACGACATGCGACGCGTGTTTGACGATCCGGCGGTCGATGCGGTGTTAGTAGCCACGCCGAATCATTGGCATGCCCCCGCTTCGATTCTGGCCTGCGAGGCCGGCAAGCACGTGTATGTTGAGAAGCCCTGTTCGCACAACATTCGCGAGGGCCGGTTGCTGATCGACGCTGCGCGTAAGAACCGCCGCGTGGTGCAGCACGGAACGCAGATGCGGAGCACCGCGATGATTCAACAAGCGGTCAACGCACTCCGCGACGGCGTGATTGGTGACGTGATGATGGCCAAGGCCTGGAACGTTCAACAGCGACGCTCGATTGGACACGAGCAACCGAGCGACCCGCCGGCGGAGTTGGATTATGATCTGTGGGTGGGTCCTGCTCCGATGGTGCCCTACCGTAGTAATTGCCATCACGGTTCGTGGAACTGGTGGTATCACTTTGGCACCGGCGATATGGGTAACGACGGGGTTCACGATATCGACTACGCCCGGTGGGGTCTGGGTGTGGAGTCGCATCCCGATGCGATTAGTGCCGCAGGTGGAAAGTACTTTTTCGACGACGACCAGGAGTTCGCCGATACGCAGCAGGTGAACTTCGAGTACAACGCCGACGGCGATCCGCGGCAGCGGAAGATGTTGATCTACGAGCAGCGGTTGTGGTCGACGAACTATCCGCACAACTGCGATAGCGGGGTGGAGTTCTATGGGACCGAAGGCCAGATGTTCGTCAGCCGTCGTGGCAAGCTCGAGGTGCGTGGTCCGCGGAATGCTGTGATCGATTTGGATATTACGCTATCGCCCCAGGATGACGCGGCGCACACGGCGAATTTTGTCGACTCGATCCGCGAGGGCAAAACGCCGAACGCCGAGATCGAAGTCGGGCACCTCTCTACGGCCTTGTGCCATCTGGGGAATATCTCCACCCGGCTGGGCCGGTCGTTGAAGTTCGACCCCGAGCGTGAGCAATTCATCGGCGATGATGAGGCCAACGCGCTGGTTTCGCGTGAGTATCAGCCAGATCACTGGGCTAAACCTGCGAATGTTTAGCCAGCTAATCATGCGGCTTCCAAGGTGACCGTGAAGTGCGTGTTTGCCACCACTGGCGAGCGTCGCTTGTATTGCGCAACGGGCCACCGCTAGACTGATTCCATAAGCAGAAGTTGCCATTTGGGCCTAACTTGTGGAGCAGCAACCATGCGGCCGTTCATCGCACTCTTGTCGTTTACGTGTGTCACTGTCGGGGCGGCTTTGTATTCCGCCGCCGAATCGCCCGTGGGGAAGTCGATTCCCGCCTTCACACTGAGCGATGCCGAAGGTAACGACCACGCACTGAGCGACTACGCCGACAGCAAGTTAGTCGTGGTGGCTTTCGTCGGGGCAGAGTGCCCCCTGGTGAAGGTCTACAGTCATCGCCTTGTGGAGTTGGACAAGAAGCATGCCAGCGAAGACGTGGCGGTGCTGGCGATTGATTCGAACCAGCAAGACTCGCTGGAAGATATCGCACAGTTTGTGGATGAGCAACGGATCTCCTTCCCTGTACTGCGCGATCCTGAAAACAAAATCGCCGACCAATTCGGGGCGACGCGCACGCCGGAGGTGTTCGT